TGAGAGATTTGCAGATTAATTGAAAGTTTAGAGCATTTATTGCAGATTCGTCATCACATCAAAAGCACCCACTCAGCTGACAGGTCTTACACGCATGACAAATTCTTCGACAGCGTCTCATTTTGGCAACAAGCATATGAGCGGTCCGAAGCAGAACAATGCAATTTGCTGGATCGAATATACGAACTAGAGCAACGCAATGAGTCTCTTCGGGCACGGCTCCAGGATGCAGGTGATGCAGGTGCAGAAAACGGTCAAGCGGCATTGAAACGCAAGACTACTGCGAACAGTGCTGCTGCCGGCAGTGAAGCTATGACACGGAAGAGAGCAAAGACCCAGACCTTCTCTCGAACGGATGTCTCGGTGTTTGACAATAGTCTTTCTGCAGAATTAGATGGCGGTGTAGTTGATCATTTAAACTTTTCTGAGCAATGTCTGTTCGCATACACCGTTAATGGATGAGATTATACTGACCGAAATTGCCTTATAGTCACTGCACCTTTCATGAGGCAACTTTACGCATTACAGAAAGTTCTGCAGAAACGGTCCAATAACTCGAACATTGTTAGGGCCTCAGTGGAGCTTTGCGCTACTGCAACCAAGAATGTCCTTGATGCGATTGAACAACCAATTGTACCCCGATCCACGACTAAAGCAAAACCACAGCCCAAGCAGCCGGATATACTGGCTGTTCTGAATAGCACCGAGAACGCTTTTCTTATCCTGATCCAGACTTTTAAGAAACTATCTGCATCTGGACAACATATGCGAGATGCTGGGCAGATTACGTACGCTATTGTTCGCTTGTATGAGACGATCATAGAAGCTTTGGGCCGGCATTGCAGGAGAAAAGCCGAACAGCAACTTCGTGAGTCTAAAACAGGTGCAAAACAAATTCAACAGAGGCACAAGGCAAAAGCCAAGCCATCCAAAACAGGCTACTCTGGTAATGCTCAGAACCAAGAAGATGAAAGAGATGAAGTAGCCACTCACATGAGCTTATTGCTGAGTAAAATGGCACTCTCGCTTAACGTTGACTGTGTAGCTAAACAAAATATTCTTGAAGGGTTTCTATTCGTACTTTTGAGTCGTGTGGGGAAGTTAGTTTCCTTGTTTGTCTTCCACGATTTGTGTTTGCGACCTGATTTACAGATGAACGATGCCAAATTTCCTTTGCCAGGGGGTCTGGAGGGAATTGACATGGCTGAGAGCACATTACCCGCAGCGGCCATGGAGGCCAAGTGCCTTATATGGCCATTGGAAAGGATGCTAGTCCTGCTCGAAGATGCTCCATCTATGTCTTCAGATCCCAGTCACGGGTGTACAAACAAACAATTGACTGCAAAGCTCAAGGGAAAACTACAGACTACCCTGCTTCACTCGGTCTTTGGCACCGACTCGCTTTGGCCAGAGGCTCTACAATACCCCATGGAACCAGATGAACGGGACCTTGAACGACTTCAGACCTGCTCAAAAATTCCCGAGCAATCAGTGCCCGACTGGTTTGTACAAGAGATTTGGAGGCTCATAGGCTGGGAGATGCTAGCTGCGGGAAATTCCCCGAAGATGTAGACGTGGTGATTCTGGCCGCAGTCTGGCCTTGGCCAACCCGGAGGGATGAAGCCGGGATTTGCGTCCATCTGACATGTATGACTTACTGATCTCAACGGAAATACTTGCATCCTGCATATGCCACGGATGTGCAGTATCACTGACACGTTTCACTGCAAGCAAAAGCACAAAGCAGATGGAGTCATGCCATGCAGCATTGCTATTATTATATAGTTCATGTCTATTTCAAATTCAGTATGCGGGCCGCGTTGCCCCCCAAGACCCCTGCAGCAGTATCTCCTTCTGATTCGAATGCAGTATGGATCGCTTTGTAATTAGTTGTCACACTCGGCCATTCTTCGTCATCCTCGCCCAAAGGAGGGAAGAACGGATGATCAGTTCCTATACTTATGTTAATAATGCTATAGCAGAAAAGCATCCCGGGACAAACGTACCGAAGAGAAGACGATCACTTCCTCCTGCTGCTGCCACCGCTGCTTTCAACCCAGCAGTGCCATACACCACAGCGTCCAGATAGATATTGGTGCTCAGAACATCCCACACACTGCGTTGCGGACCGGGAACATCACCTCCGTTGGCGATGAATTTGCGTTCATGAAGGATACAGCTCTCGATCCGACCAGCAAGGAAGGGAAGGGTGCCTCCGGAATGAGCCAGGAGGATTTTCAACCGTGGGAAGCGATCAAAGACCCCCGCCAACAGCATCCTCGTCACCGCAATGGTGGTCTCAAGAGGAAACCCTAGAGCTAGGGGAAGAACATGACCATAGCGATTCGTTACTTCGGGTCCACCAAAGGCTTCATCCGGTAGCCCATAGTGGGGGTGCAGGAACAACATGGACTCCGTATCTTGTAAGGCCTCCCAGACCGGATCCAGTCTACTATCGTCTAACCCCTTGCCTAGACCTGTTGTTCCCATGATCACCCCCCGGAGATGGGGCAATGTCTTGAGTCTTCTGATTTCGTTTACAACAATATCAGGGCTCGGGGCGCTGAGCGGAAGTGCCCCGAAAGCAAACAGCGTTTCCTTTTCATGGAGTGCCTTTGTTCTGTCGGGGTCTGCATCGTTGTTCACCCGCGCACAAGTGGTCTCCAGGTCGTCATTGATGCGCTCTGCCCATGTCTGGGCTTCGTCCGGCTCAAGGAAGTCCAGCCACGGATTGGCCAAAGAAATAACACTGCAGTTGATTCCATGGCGTCGCATAAAGGCCAATTTCACATTGATGTCTGAATAGGACGAATCCACGGGGCGACCACGCTGATCGACGGGGATTGACGGGTCATCATCGGATGAAAGGATGATGAGACGAGGGGTTGCATTGTCGGCTGGGTCGTGGACATAGGGGACTGTCTTGCGCGCGCGAAGCATATGCATATAAGAAGGAGGGTAGACATGAGTGTGGATGTCGACGATCAGAGGGGGCATTTTGACGTTTGTATTATAGAAAGACAATGATGAAGAGAAAAAGAAGGAAGAGGGGTAGTTATTGTGTTCACCTTAGTACTACCTTCTTCACTAAGTATGGGAGGGTGCAGCTAATGAGGGGTAAATACTCATGTGAGATGCATGAAGATGACTGATCAACTGCAACTTCCCCTTTGGTTCCTTCCCCTCTCTCTTCTTCAGCTGCGATAAACCCCTTGATCTGTTATCTTCACGATCAGGATCTGATCTTAATGGAGATTACAGTTCTATCGGACTGATAATCGCTGTGCTCGACCCGGTGAATCTCCCCAAGCTGGTCCGATAAGCAAATCCAGCTGTGCATTCCCCATATCTCCATATCTCCAATCACACTATCACCCATCCATTTTTCCCTATCACACTGCCATGGTTATTGCCCGTCCCTGCCCCGCGATTTGATTGCCCGGGTCTTATCATAGTAATAAGTTGGGGAGCTTTAACCGCCGATTGCTTCTCTATTATTGCCCAATCACTCGCCCTTTGCCCCAGCGTCATCCTTGGTTCATGGCAGATAAGTGATCTCACGGTCTTCTGCACGAGCCTCCCCTTGCGCCATCTCGTTTCCTTGTCTGCCCATCTCAATCCCCCAGATATTAAGTCTTTACATCCCATCTCGTTACTCCGATCGTTTTGTACTGTGGCTGCCGTCTTCTCTATCCTGGAGTTATCGTGCATCTCCGCAATGGAAGGTAATCTCCCCCAGCAACAGTGTCACCCAGCTTCTACAGCGGTGGAAAAGGATGACTTGGTTATCCCAGTAAGTCTTTCCGTGAACGGCCTTTCCCCCTGTCCTTCACTCCACGTGCTTGCTTGCTTGTGTCTTGAGTCTTCTGGTCTGGTCGGGTCTGGTCTTTGTCTCACCTGGTGTTACCGTAGATCATCGACTTCGGACCTTTTCTAAACGGCACCCCCGCCGATAAGCATGAGGTCGCCATGTCCATCGTAGACGCTTTCAAATCATCCGGCTTTCTCTACCTCAAAGACCACGGCATTCCTCCTTCCGTTGTCTCTGGTGTATTTGGCTCTTCAGGTCGCTTCTTCGGTCGATCGCAGGATCAAAAAGATAGTCTGTGCTGGACTACCCCACAGTCGAACCGTGGATACGTCAAGACTGGGCAAGAGAAGCTAAGCACGGTCGATGACGTGGTGGGGGCCTCTCGAACCACTCCCGACCTGAAAGAGACAATGGAGATCGGTCGGGAAGGTGTGGATGGCTTTCCGAATCGGTGGCCCGACCACATCGATGATGAAGGGAAGGACTTTAAGCAGGTGATGTTGTCGTTTTTTGACATGTGCAAGTCGCTCCACATGGAGGTCATGCGCGCTATTGCACTGGGTATGAACTTGCCAGAGCACTTCTTTGATGCCTATGTGGATGCCGGCGACAATAACCTTCGCCTGCTGCATTATCCTTCAGTGTCTAAGGAGGTCTTCAAACAAAATCCGGGACAGGTCCGAGCCGGTGAACATAGCGATTATGGTTCCATCACTCTTCTCTTTCAAGATAGCCGCGGGGGACTGCAAGTTCGTAGTCCCAAGGGCACTTTCGTGGATGTGACCCCCATCGCCGACACTGTGGTTATTAATGCTGGCGATTTGCTGGCTCGATGGTCCAACGACATCATCAAAAGTACCCGACACCGAGTTGTCGAGCCCCCGACAGCAGTCGGGGAGGAAGAGCATGATTCCGTTATCTACCCTGATCGCTACAGCATTGCATATTTCTGCAATCCCAATATGAACCAATTCATTGAAGCTATTCCTGGGACCTTCGAAGAGGAGACCCGCCCTGCAAAGTATCCTGGAATAACCACGGGTGATTATCTGGTGCAACGACTTACAGCAACCATATAAAAGCTCCATTTCAAGCGCTGCACGGAATGTGGCATACTCTTGTGGCTGCAGGTCGCATTTATTGAACTAATATTATGCTCAGCGGGTCTAGGCATCGTATTTGGCATTTTCTTTCAAAGCGTATAACATCTTGTATTGGGTTATGCATGAACGTTTCTTCCTAGCTCAATGAGAATATATGTATATACGTGCCATCGTGTTCTGTTTCAGTGTTGAGTACCTAACAACTTGGCAACGTGCTCAGCCAACCCCCGTCGATGATTGTGATATTGCCATTGGCATATGCCCCAGAGGGACTTGCCATCCAAAGAACCAAGCCTGCAAACTCTTCATGGCGACCAGCGCGACCGGGGGGCAGTTCACTCTTGGGAAAGGCACCATCCGAGGCTGATGACTTGGTAATTCCAAACGCTATCTTCGTCATCTCAGAAGGAAACAATCCCGGTGCTATACCATTCACACGGATATCGTACGGTGTGAGAATGTTGGACAGTGTCTTGATCAGGTGATGCACCGCACCCTTGGAGATATTATATGCGATGCTATAAGGCACAACTCGAAAATGACCGGCTACCGAACCAACTATGATAACCTGTGCCTTTGGGGTTGGGAGTTGGTCCTCTACGGGAGCCGGTCTTCTCTCATTTGCTGCGTTGAGCAGAGACAAAAATGCAACAACAGTGAAAAATGTCCCTTTCACGTTGATATCCATGAGCTTCCCGAAATCTTCTTCTGGGGAGGACCACAGATGATCTCGGAACTCAGCAAGACTTGGGATTGACCCGTCCGGCTTTGGCTTTGGCGGTGCCATTGGCAGGCCTCCATAGCCGCTGTTGGCGATGAGTAGGTCGACATGATCTGTCTGTGCTGCGACAGTCTCATAGGCTGCCTGTAACGACTCTTTCGATGTTATATCTGCCTGGACTGGAATAATGGTGTCTTTTTTGCCAAGAGACACGGTCTCTTGCAAAACATCCTCTCGACGGCCAAGGATGAAGACTTTGGCGGCACCGTTTTCGGCCAGGGCAAGGGCTGTTGAACGGCCCAATCCTGGAGGGTAAACATAGTCTTCACACGAACTTTGCGGCAGTAAGGGGTTCAGCTTACCTGTGCCACCACCGGTTAAGACGACAACCAGTCCTTCGACCGACAACAACTGGGCAGCGTTGAAGTGCGACATGTTCTAGTACTGTCAAAACGTATTATCCCCTTTCTTACAGATGTTATCATAAAGAAAAGCTTGAGAAGGACAAAGGTTCACCGCAAAAATTCGGGTCTTGTAGAGGGCGATGCAACTGGCTCAATCAGGCATATCACCGTGGGGGATCGCGTCAAATGACGCTGATTGAATTTTGTGAAACCTGCTTTTGCCGTTATTTCTACTTTAGCTATCTTGCATGCCCTAAGTTCGAGCGGCCCAGGTAAGTGGTCAACTTGCAAAGTGAGAAAATCCCCGCGAGCAGCATACCCTCAGCGCAAGCTCACGACTGGCACTGGCTATATTCGTGGCACCTGCCATCGCAAGAGCAACAATGGCGATATGCTACCTGCCATATTAACTAGGTGCTGATATCGGGCACGGCCGGAAACAGCTGATCTCTAGCCATCCATACCTCGCGCGGTAACTGCTACCTTGCCGGGCTGTCATTCCGTTGGATATCATTTCCGTCCAACCATATAGCGAATCCATTGACCAAGCTCACCATCGGATGTCTGGCCTATTGTGGGTAAGTCGACTGGATCTACATATGATATCCTTTGTTGCGAAGTAAAGTGATTGTTGTACTGAGTGGAATGCTGGTTTCAGACTGACACATCTGTAGAGCATCCTCAGGCACTCCACGAGACCTGAATCCGGCGTCTGGGACGGTGATAGGCTACTAGACTTCCTTACGTGATACAACTTACTTTTCCCCTGGGCAATTACTATGGCACTTTCATCCGTTCCTTACAGGGGTCGTTCTAGTCGTCTGTCCAACCCGTATGCATTTCTGAAATCCACGCGGTGTGGCTTGAGTGTGATGACCACCGTACCGTTCAGTCCCCAAGCGTTTTCCTCGAAGACTTGGGGCTTAACCAGGCATACCTCATATTTCTCTTCTCTCTGAAGTCAGTCAGGGTGGGTCTGCGGTGTGAGCTTCATTGTGTTCCATATTTCCGTCGCCTTCCGTGAGGGTCATGGATGATGAGAAGGTTACATCCACGCGCATCCGAACTCCTAGAAAAATTCCTGTTTCGACAAACCGAGTGGATAATATCTCCATTGCAGACAGTCGTGAGTACTATGATTGCCCGATTGCGTCACAAATGGGAGGTGACATGACGAGCACGATGTGCTGGCTATCAACGTATTTATGTACCTGCTGGGTGCCTGTCGAGCTTCCGGGTTTCAACAAGCTGCGGATGTTTAACTTTTTGAAATACAACCGCTGATCAGTATGACTTTACATCGTTTGATTTTGCTTGGCTCAATGGGCTCCTTGCCCTTGAGTTTGGCATATCCCCGCCTCAACATTCCTCGGCAAGTCGGGAATGCGACGGGCGTTGCGCCTGGCATCGCACCTGGTAATGCGACTGCTCCCGGTGTTGCCCCTGGAACTGCTCCTGCCACTGCCCCTGCTACAGCTCCTACTGCCCCTGCGGCTGTAGCTCCTCCGCCTGTCGTGACATATTCCACAACCCAGGCCCACACTCCGTACACTGGCGTACCGACAACGACTGGGGCACTCAGTCTTGGCCCTATCGGCCCTGGCATTTCGCCCTTGGGCATTCCTCCGGAGGCTACCACCTACCCTAGTGATGGTCAGCTTCATAGTCCCCAGCCTGGGCCTTATATCCCCGCAGGGGGCGTGGGGACGAATGGGACTACCCCTGTTTATAATGCAAAGAGTGACTTTGACTACGAATCTTTGGTGAGTGTTGACTTGACATTTCACGGCTTCCTGCTCCTGCTAACACGATGTCAGGCCCTTGCGTTGTACCAAGAGTACATCGAGCTCGACCTCTTCCATGATGGACTAGCACGCTTCTCTGTTGACGACTTCACTGCTGCGGGGTTGACAGCGGAGGATCGTTTCTTGATCGAGTTCATGGCGGATCAGGAAGTCGGCCATGCGACCATGTTGACCAACATCTTGGGCGCAGAGGCACCCAGACAGTGCAACTATGTATACCCTTATACCACAGTTCACGAGTTCTTGGATTTCTGCCAGAAGCTTACCCGCTTCGGAGAGGCTGGTGTGTATGGGTTCTTGTCCCATCTGGACTCGCGCGAAGCAGCGACTCTTCTCACTTTGTCCATCACCACGGAGGCTCGCCAGCAAATGATCTTCAGGCAGTTTGAGGGACTCTTCCCCATGCCAGTCTGGTTCGAGGTCGGTGTTCCTCAGTCATGGGCTTGGACTTTGCTTGCTCCGTATATTGCCTCTTGCCCAGAAGGCCAGACACGCCTCGCATGGCAAAACTTCCCAGCACTGTCTATCCTGAACCAGCCGAACCCGGTTCGTATCAACGGTGCTGATGCTTGGAGGGAGACTATCACCAATGGCACAAACGTGTTGAACAGCACGGCCGTCCCCAGCTCGCAAGCTTGCCAGAACAATGATGCCGTGGGTATTAACTGCTCCCCTGCAATCACCCACAACCGCACAAACCCTTTGTCGTTCCCCGGCCGGGAAGTCTTCCTGTCTTGGGATGCTCCAGGACAGCCTGTTGGGCCGAACAATAGCTACGTGACCTCGACTACCGCTGGAGCCCCGAAGTACGTGGCGTGGGTGACGCAGCTGAACGTGACCTACTCTGAGTTGACACTCAATGGCTCGAGATCTGGGTCGACGATTCAGCCCAATGTTGAGACCTACGCAGGTGACCCCGCCGTTAATGGCACCATGTTCATTGCCATTACTGATACGAACCTCTACGTGACCCCGTTCAACATCACCATGATCAACCCTCATGTGGTCGCTGGGCCGGCTCTCTACCAGTCTGGTTAGATGAGTGGGTGTATGGCTTGTTGAGGGTAAAATTAGCAGGAAAGGCATGCTTTTGACGTGTGATGTCTCGCCAGATGTTTCATATCGATGATGTATTTGGTTTCTGACGGGGAAAGGGAAATTCTCATGTCTTAACTATGCTGCTGGACCGTTTATAATTCTATTAGTTCTTAATCTAGGGTTCTACTTAGCTACCAATGAAAACGTGGTTGAAGGTTAATCTACATTGTGCTGGATTGTAGCATCTAGATATTGTATACAGTGTAGACGGGGCAGCCCACCAGCACGGCTAACCCCGCTTAACTCCGGCGGTGATACATCATTTCAAGTTGACAGCGGAGCTTCACCTGAGACAACCCCCTGCTTCTCGTTTTGTCGCGAACCATCGCCCCTTTTCTCGCCAATAAATAGCTACGCACATTTACAGGGCTCCAGCACCATGGAAGGTCCGAGGAACCGGAAACAGCGACGAGCAGCAGCGGCAGCAGCGACAACTGTCGACAGCGACACGTTCGATCCCTCCTCCATTCCCCTCGCGCGCCCTGCACCAAACATCCCGAAGAGCAAGGAGAAGACCTTGATGGACATTATATCTGAGCGGCAAAGCGAACTTCTAGGCCAGGCAAACGCCCCGACTGCGACCTCTGACTCGAGTCCCCGGTTTGTGACCATCGACCCCACGACCGGCGACATTTCCGGCCTCAACGCATCGGAGCTCGCGGCGGTAAAAAACGGGCAGGATATCAGGCGAGTTGAAGAAGTCACGGACGAAACGGCATCCACTGAGGAGGGAGAAGACGAACCTGAAGAGTCCGACCATCCTATCCCGCCCGTCATCGACACGCTCCTGCTGTCAGTCCCCCTGACCACCCTCCACCTGACCCTCGCGTACCTCGCAGCCCATCAATATGCCGAATCCATCGAACTAGACAACCTCATCCGCGAATCAGTATTCGTGGCTTTTCCGATGCTGACCCTGCTGGTCCATCTTGCTCACGGACACGTCGTCTCCTTCATTGGCAGCACTGGCAGGTCGAAATCCACCGAGACGGTCTCGCTTCTGCCCTGGGACAGCGAGAAACTGACGTTAGAATTCTTCCGAAAACTGCTCTTTCCTCCGGCATTACGTACCATGGTGTTCCTGCCGATGGCGGTCGCTCTTGGCTGTAAGCTGATGGTCATAACCAACGACGAACCATACTACGCGGTGATGAGGGGGGCGCCCGCCATCGGGACAATATGGATCTGGAGCATTTTGGAGATACCGTTTGGGGCAGCCGTTATCGGGGCGTTGGGGCCATTGGCATGGGGGGTATGGTGGAAAGGCTACGGGATACTCTGATCGAAGCGGAGCAGAGCAAACAACGCTGAGTGAGATTATCGATCAACGCCCTGATGGCGCGATTTGCGCGTCCGTTAGGATGGAAGGAACTGCATCCTAGTACAACAGACATGCTTTGGTCTGGGACTCGACCTGCGCCGGCGCCTCGGTTATGATGGCTCGATATGCACCAGCAGCACCGGTCGGGCGGCGGACTTGCACCATGCCAGTGGCGGGCTTTAGGATATCCCCTCTCTTGGAACAGACACTATCACGTCACTGCAGACACATAGTTACAATGTCGTTCCTTTTTTATTTTTTTGTTTATTCTATTCTATCTTTTCCTGGTTTACCGCCATCTTTACCGCCACTGAGTTGACGAAGGCTGGGAGGTCGCAAACTCAATCACATTTGATGTTGTACAACGTCGGTTGCTTCATCACGCACGTACGGTGCAGAAGTCGGTGACGACAGCTGCTGATGAGTATCTGCTTCTGGGCCATGAATGACCCGCCGGACTTCCGGTTATGAACGATAGGCTATCCTGGACGGCATTTCTTTAACTCGAATCTTGGAATCCCGGTCGCATGTGAACATGGAACATGACCTGAATCAAGTGGATAGAGTTGGAGAACCTTAGATGGAGAGGGGAACAAAGAAACTACAACAAAAAGAAAATAATAATTAAAAATATAGACAATTAACGGTCTTGACATCGGGGATCAGTGAATCCCGAAACCGCGCCAACAACGCTCTTCCCTTTCTTCACTACGAAGTATACTCGGTTAGATCCTCGACTCGGGGTTTGTTTGAGAGCATGACCACCACCATTGCGAACATGGATGTCAATCGTGCTTCTACCCCTCCTGGACCATGTCGGTCGACGTGGCAATGCAGTCGAGTGGAAAGACCGTTGCGACTAGTGCCTACTCCATAATGCAACCCCTTGGGGGCCGCCAGGATCCAGGCAGCAGCTGCCAGGATGACCCGTTTGGATGCGTGGTGGTCGTTTCCGGAGAGACCGCCAGAAGAGCCAGGCTGGGGGCGGCGGCGATGAAGCCAGGGAACAAACTGGACCGGGAGAATATTACCGACGGCGAGAGGGAAGCAGGAGCTTACGAACAGGCGGTGGTCCAGGAAACCCGGACTGGCATGACATGGCGTCTGTCTAATTCTTCTAGTGGCTGCAGCTAGTTCACTGGCCCTGTCACATGACCTGCACGTTGCGGTCCCCGGCGCAGCCTCTCTCTCTCTCGTGCAGTTTTCATTGAGAAAAGAGTTGAGGGTGAGGGTGCAGGCTGCAGAGAGTTCCTGTCCGGTGTCCACTTCCTCTTCCCCTCCCTCGTGCACCTTGGGGTTGTTGGGAAAGGAAAATCATGACCCAGTGATGCGCGGGTCCAACCCACTCCCTTCCCCCCAACCGCAATGACATGCCGATCAGCGGACGGATGTCAGGCTTGGGGCCAAGTGTGGAGGATGCGCCATGGCGAGGCTCTGCTACGGTGCCACCCGTGCTGAACATGAACCTCAGCCGGATCAATGTGAATCTCAATCAAGGCGGGAACAGGACAGCTGAGCCTTTGCGAAGGCTTACTACTACTATTACTACAACCTTGGCGGAAAATTATCAGGGAAAGTCAAGTCAATCGCCCCATGGATGGGCGAAAATAGGTCGATCCAAGATCTGATTCGCGATCCTAGCGGTGACCAGCCCAACGATGGCGATAGGAGCAACAACCCTGTTGGGCAAAGACACGGAGAGAAAAGCCGGAGATTCCGACAAAGCAACATCGTCCATCCGGTTCAATAGTCGCGACGGATCCAAACTGGTTGACAGCCGATGGTGTGTAACCTTCCGCAAGCGGACTGCCGGCGGGGGAAAAGAAAGAGGAAAAAGAGGAGGAGGAGGAGGAGGAGGAGGAGGAAGTGGATGACAATCGGATTGTCCCGCGATCCAATCGATCATCATGCTCATCGAAGCGATTGTATGCCACAGTTGGATAGTGAGTCCTCCGCCCACGAGGCGGCGCTGGGCTTGCGAGAGACTAGTGAGTTGGGCCGTGGGTGGGTGTCGTCATGATCCATTTCTCCGAGATACAAACCGGCTGGAGGGTGTAGATCGTATGCGATTGCCGATAGTAGATACTAGATAGATGGAAAGCACTCGAAATTCAGCCTGGTGAGAGAGATACAAAGTATCATCCAGCACCACAATAACCCAAGACAGAAAAAGATGGCACAAGAGACTATCGCAAAGAACCCACCATATTAGTGATAGCCCACTGTGGCAAGACAGAGCAGAGTGTCCGTGTGTGTGGCGCAGAGCTGAAAACCCATCCAAGCCATGCGATAGACTACATACCAACCTACTTTAGTTCAAAGAATAGTGAGGTAGCCGCTGAACCACTAAGCAGTTAGTCCAGGGTTCAGAAAACGAATGGAAAGATAGGAGAAAATAAAAAATAAAAAGTGGGCAGGGCAGAACTTACTCGAACTATTGCGACACTAGTACGGGCCGGACTCAACTTAACCTCAGTTTTCGGGTCATGGGGAGGATCGAGGATCCCCTTTGATTTGCCCTTTCCGGGTACAGCAACATGAATGTATATTTTCTTCTGGTTTGATCGGTGTGGAGAAAGATATCTTTCATTGCTTTTTTGTTGTTTATATCGCGATCTATCCATCTTGTACTTTTGTCTTGTCGATCGGATAGTTATGTTGTTATGTATCATCGGTAGAACAAAGACACGAGATAGATTGACTGACTTGACTACCTTGTGATTAGCGGATCACGCTAGTTAATTAGTGAGTTAGTAAAGTGTCGCAAAGCGGCGGGGAATGAATGAATGTCATGTCATGTCGAGACAAGACCCTGGTCAGGAATAGATGAAAAGGAGATTACGATTGGGCAAAGAACTTGGTTAGTGAACACCTGTCATTTAATTAATTAAGTGTCTACCTACGGAGTACGTAGGTAAGTAGTTACGTGTGTAATTCTTTATCTCTCTCCATCGGAGGAACAGACGGAGTTTAGTCGGGTTTTCCATGGGCCAAATAGATTATTAATCTAAAAGAGTGACGGTGACTATGAATGGAAGCTAGTTATGATATAGAAAGAACCTAATAGAAATAAGAATTAAACAAAAATCGGAAAAATATGAATTACAAGATGAATAGTAGTGTCTAAAAATGTAGTAATTGTAGTTATTTATTAAAATGTTAATAGTAAGTAAGGACTGACCAGATCAGGCTACAACCCAAAAATGGCAACAAATGTTAATACTACTCGGTAGGTAGATGGTAAAGTTCACCAAGTCCAAACTTTAACAATATCCGGGAATTGGTATGCAATACTAAGTTAGTGATGAAATGAAGGGATCTGATCCTACCTACTAAGTAGACTCCATACGTACTCCATTTACTCTGAACGGAAGACAGTGGGAATTTGGGAAAAAGTAAACAACAAAGCCATCATCACCTTACATGTCCCTCAACCATGGTACCGAGAGTGCATATCCTGGGAAGAAAAAGCATAACCTTAAAAGACTAAAGAACTTGCTGGGTGAACCATATTTTTCCTTGGTTTGCCGCCTTTTTATTTTCTTTTTCTTTTTCTTTCCGTGATCAGAAAGCTTAGTGGAGAAACACAATCTATCTACGAGAACTATATTTATCGCTTAGAGAAAGAAAAATAAAATAATTCTTCAGCTGTCCACGTTCAACAATGAGACATGTGAACTCTCCCCCATAAACACGATGTTATGGAGAAATGAGTGTAAGAGACTATTAAATGCTATTGCTACTACAATTAGAAAATAGATAGTTTGCTTGCTTGCTGACTTACTTGATTAGGTACATGTACATACTATATACATAATATAATATGTACATGATACAGCTCGTGTATGTACAATGTATGTAAGTAGTCACTAGTAGTAGCACATATGTATCTATCTACCGACATTGCTTACTACTACTGTATATGTACATATTCTTGGATTGTAGAAATAAAAATAAAAATAAACAGAAAGTACCACATGTCATTTTGACATACTCTGCAGACATCATCACATACTATACTTCACAAGTAGTAGTAACCTACCGAGGTATAACTTTATCCCTACTGATAATCTTCATCACATTACGATTCCGACCACATCCTTGTATCATGTTTGGGTATTAGCAGGGTCATCCTGGGATTGTTAGTCCACATTTCCCCTCTTTCAGAGAGTCAGATTACTCCCTGTCACGATCGCGATCATTGTGAAACATGAGAAACAAAAAGGAATGATGCTCCTGCTATATCAAGTTAGTATTACTACACAGATACCTAACTGTTTAATCTAGATAGATACCAACTCCGTAGATAGTAAGATACTAAGATATGTACCCAACAACCGGGATCAGACCCCTCCTCTACTGTACACTATACTTTTTCTTTTCTTCTCCTCCCTTGCAAGGATCATGAAGGAGCATAATCCCAGTCAAGCACGCTTACGGGAGAAAAAAAGAACAATAGCCACTGAGAATCCATCTACCCCTCTCGTGAACGAAGACTAGATTTAGTTCTGACAGCAAACAATATCCTAGTAATTCTTTATCCTGTTTATTATGTCACTCGACAGGATTATGGGTGAGTGTATGATTCAGATTTGGGCGGAGGGAGGAAACCTTTACAATCCAATTGCTATTACTCTCTACATAGGATGCAAAAGAGTAAGAAATCCAATGGATAAGAATACCCTATTCATCCAGTTTCAAACTGAATCAAACCCAACAGCGCGTTTTGGTGTAATGTATCACACCCACGCGCTTAACGTCCACAAACATGTGCCAAACAACAGCCACTGTACTACCACACACTACCCTACCACACCATATCATACCAATCCCAATCCCCATAGGGTTAGACAAACACTTACTTAGTTATAGTAAGTAGCTCACTACTAATAAACTAACAGCTAAGCGAAGATACACCACCTCAATCAAATCCATTACTCTACATACTTAGTTCACAAAGTAGGGTAGATAAGTGTTAATCCACTAGTAGTAAGTTAGTAAGTTAGTAGCAGTAGAAGGTTACTGCACCGCAATGGAGTACGTACTGCAAGGGAAATCACCCTAACAGACTAACTAACAGATGATCTAATCCACTCACTCACCCACTCACCCCCCAATTTAACCGCTCTTCCGGGGTTACCCGGTTAGGTATCGGGCGTGCAGGGCGAAACTTGCGCAGAACCTAAACTAGTCATGGTTAAGGAGATACAGTAGCACACCGTAGTTCACTGTAGTCTACAGTAGTCCTCTGTAGGTGTGTGTCCCTTGGGACTAACGGTGCGCAACAGAAAAAGAGAAATAGAAAAAAAAAAAAAAGAAAAACGAGGGGGGCTGGTTTTTCGCCGGATTAGGTAGGAGATTCTTTCTGACATGATGGTCATCATTATGATACTAACTAACTAATTTAGCTTTATCTCCATGCTATGTATCTGTGCACCTTTGCTATGTGCTTCCAGATGTATGTATGTATGTGTAGTTGTATGGACGAATCCAGTCGTCTTTTTCTGGTTCCATCCCCCTTGTCACTCCCCCACCGACCACCCTGCTCTTAACGCCTAAAGCCTAGTCCGTAATCACTAACGCCCCCGAATATGTACGGCATTCCCAGAGCGGAATATCAACGGAAGAAGAAAAATGTCGCAAAAAAAAGAAGAAAAGTCGAAAGAAGAAAAAGAAAACAGAAAACCAAGAAGAGAAGTGAAAAAAGCAACCCCTCTTTACACCGTAATGCGCCCTGGATGCATTATCCCGACCGTCTGCATACTAGCACCCTTGAACCGTGCCAGCAAGTTACTCACTATCTCCCGATAGGTGTTCATCTGAGATAGCTTGAACCGCTGGATTTTCCCACTCGCGGTCCGTGGGATCTCCTCCACGAAAATCACGCCCCCATCCAGCGCCTTATAGCTGGCCAATTGGTGTCGTGCAAAGTTGTACACATCGTCCGCGGTCAGCCGGCTGCCCGTCAGGCTCTTGGCTCGCACCACGAACGCTCGGGGCAGCTCCGTGCTGCCGTCCCGCGATGTAACCCCAATCACGGCGGCGTCCTCGATTTCCGGGTGCTTGAGTAGCGCTGCCTCCACCTCCGCCGGGGCCACCTGCCATCTGCACGTCACGGTTAGCACTTGCTTCGGGGTTTGCTTTCCAATTGACCACCACTTACCCTCGCACTTTAATCAATTCCTTGGTGCGCCCGTAGATGTAGAACTGCCCGGCGCTCACGTACGCAACGTCGCCGGTGCGGAACCACCCTCGGGCGTCTTTGGCGTCTGACCGGCCCTTGTACCCACTGAGGACCCCGGGCCCGCGCACCCAGAGCTCGCCAGGCTGGTTGTCCTCGAGCACCAGCTGGTGGTCCTGTCCGACCAGCCGCACCTCGTAGCCCTCCAGCAATCGACCAATGCTGCCGGCCGGGGCCTGCTGAGGCCCGTAGCGATTCTGGAACACCACCCCCACTTCGGTCATCCCCCACAACTGGGAGGCACGGGCGTCACTGTGAAGCAGTTCCCGGAAGCGCTGCATGGCGGCGGCATCAATGGGAGCGCCGGCAACCCCGACATATCGGAGAGAGGACAAAGAGCTCGTGGCCGACGAGGCTGACCGATTGAACTTGTGAATCATAGCGGGGACCATGTAGGTCTCGGTGATACCAAAATCGCGCACCGTCCGAATGAACAGGTTCATTTCAAAACGCGACAGCACCAACAAGGGCTCGCCATAGCGAATGGGAAATAAGTGGGTCCACAGCGCGCCAAACATGTGGAACATGGGCAGCGACATCAGGCGAGTTACCTCATAAGGCACATCGTATTGGATGGTGAGGTGGTGAGAAATCATGGCATGGTGGGTGAGGTATGCTGCCTTAGGCAGGCCTCCGGTGCCGCTGGTGGAGAACATGGCGGCCGGCGTCGATTTGGCGATCCTCTCGTCATCAAAGGCCACCCAATCACTTTCGCCATACGCTAGAAGGTGGGCGAAGTTCACAACAGAGCCGCCCCCACTGCTCGGTAGTAGATAGGAGGCGCCGGCAGTCGCATAAGCCAATGGTCCGGCGAGGAAGTATTGGGAGATGTAATCCCCTGCAGCTTCATCCACCAGACACACCTGGCTGGGATGCATTCCACGGTCGGCTGACACGCTCAGCACCGTAGGCAGTGCATCGGACGAAGTGATGATCAGTTTTGGCTCTGCCAGTTGCAGAATGTGCTCCAGCTCTTGTGGTTGGCTGCGCGCGTTGGAGCCCATGAACACACCGCCAGCCCCGATGATGCTGAAGAACAGCGCGGGGTATATGATCTACCACACCATGAGTCAGTGAGAAGAGGATGATGGAGGGGCATGATGGGAATGACGATAACATGATGGAGAGGCAGGTAACAAATCAAATTGAATAGAACAGAGAACAAAGAACAGGAAGGGTGGGTGAGGTGGGGGGAGGGGCACAGAGAGAGATCTCGAGGTAAGTAGTAGTGTTTGGGGATGATTTGATAAGCGGGCCAGTCAGGGGAGGAAGATGACTAGATGACTACTTACACTATTTCCCAGGTGGACCAAAACACAATCGCCGGGCTGTACATTGTGGGCTTTCAGGCCAGCAATCAGCGCTCGAACCAGAGTCTCGAACTGCAACGCGTTGAAGAATCGCGTAGCGTCCTCAGCGTCGATGAATATTGGCTGTTGCCGGTCATAGTGGACTGGGCCCCTAAAGGCAAAAGTCAACAAGTCGGTGTAGAAACCGTCACCGTGAGTGATGCCATGGTTGTTGGCGTGGTCCAGGTGGTTGTCGGGGTGGGTGAGGTTGAAGGGATCGCCCAGAGTGGGAGACTCCCAGAGACTACCCATCGTGGAGAAGAGTACTGGTGATTTGTTCAAGAACTGAAGGGATGATTGACGAGATATGGAGGAGTGGAGGAGAAGATAGGAGTGAGAAACTAAAGATGGAACAGGAGAAGGGTTGGAGAGAGGGAGGTGGGAAACAGGAGGAGGGTGAGGATGAGAAGACAGGAGAGGGAGGGAGGAGGGAGAGGACGAGAGAGAGAGAGAAGCAAAGAGGGAAGAAAGAGGGTCAATTCAGTCCCGTTGAGTTAGTGTTGTCAGAGTTGAATCAAGTCCAGTTGAGTCCAGTCCAATGTGAATCAATCAAATCACACATGCCCCGTTTCCAGTGTGAAGGTGACGGGACCAGATGGGAGCAGTAAGTGGTAGTAGTAATAGTAGGAGAAGTAATGGTTAGACAAATGTCGGAGCCTGGACGAGGAATGATCATAAAAAGATCAGAAAGAATTATTTCCCCGATCCAGCAAAGGGGAATTCTGGGGCGATAAATATATCTCCATTCATGATGGGAAGTTTTAAGGGTAGTAGAAAATAAAAAGGACCAGCTCATGAAACCGACAACTAATCCTGCGGCGAAAGTGAGAGCGAGAGAGAGCGACAGCAAGCTAGTAGAGCATGAGCTAGAGCAAAGAGAGAGGGGGGAAAGGTGTGAGTGGATGTGGGAATGACAAGGGAATTCCAGATTAATTCCAGTTATTTTTTCCAGTTTGGACCCCCCATCACTTACCCTTTCGAACAAATGCCATGATTTGGAATTTGGAATTCCATCGCATCCTGAGAGAGAGACTCACTCCAAGATCGGGGCGCGGATCCCACTCCGACCCACGTCTTCCTCCCAAGACATCGAATGACAGCCGCCGATTGCAGCATCCACTAATCCCCTCGCGGTTTCGTCCTTCAGATCGCATCCCGAAGTGGGTCGCAACTTGGCCAGAGCGAACAGCTCCCGTCATGCAGACGAACTCACCTCTATTTCCTAGGCGGAAATTCAGAAAATCCAAAATATCAAAAAGAAATAAGAATTAGGAAATAAAAAATTATAAAGCCAAAAAAAGCAAAAACACCCCCAAGACATAAAATAAAAACTGAAAATAAAAAAAATAAACTCCATCGAAAATAACAATATGAAAAACAAACAAAGAAAGAGAAAATAATAAAATAAAATAGAAAAAATAAAAGTTATTCTCCACAATCCATGATCTTCGTAACTTCCCTTCTCATCCCACCTTTTCCTCTTCCACTCTTCTTTTTTTTTTTTTTTTCTTTCTCTGTTTCTCTTCCCCATACCTTAACTTAATCCATTATTGGGCATCTCTTCAGCCCGAGCACCACGGTTCTTGACTCAATCTTCCTCATCCTGTCTTCTCATTGGATCTGATGACTCCCACGCTCCCCTGTCATCGAGCCTCTCGATCGTGCATCTCCCTTTAGTCCCAAGCTGGTAGGTATCGTTCTTTGCTTCCCCCATTTAGTATAGCCTCCAATTCAGTTCCATCCATTCATTCCCCCTCTTTTTTTCTTGCCACTTTCACTCTTCAGGAATCGGCGGAGCGGTTAGTATCTAGTTTATGTCCTCGTGCAGCTGAACCCACCGGTTAGATCTCCCGCCTTGGGAACCGAACTAGCGTTCATCCATGGTTGACGCCCCAGCCTGCTGGATTTGGGGGCTTTGTATTCAGCTTCCAATTCAATCTCGACTTCCATCGTGCAATCATGCCTGCCTGTTTGGTATCCACCTCGCCTGACCCATGCTAGGCTGACGTCTTGCTAATCACTTTGGCAGCCAAAAGTGTACGTCTTTTCCTGCAAGACGCGCCTGGCACCGCTGAAAATGTACCCCGCCCGCTAATGGAAACCTGGCTGGTGGTACGGTGTGGGTAACCCTCTGATCACTTGTCTCTTTCTTTCTTTCTTTCTTTCTTTCTCTGTGGGTGTGTCTGTCGCTCTATCAGGCGCATATGCACTCTTCCCTCGACTCCATTACCGGGCCGCCTGGCCAGCACCTCGGGACACACTAGTCTTTCCCAGCGACATGGCAGGGCTCCATCTGCAATCTGCGCCTGCCACCGATACTTAGAACTCTCATTTAGTTGATTCTCCCAAATAGGAAAAAAGCAAGGAATCTGTGCGTCCTGCATGGATCGTGGGTGGATATTGCCGCCGGGGCCCTGTCAAGTCAACTCTTTCACTAACTTGCCTCTCAACAATCATCCTGTGTCCCGTGCTCCGATAATCCGATTATCGATTTTCCCATTGCCTCATCCCTCCACCTTTACAACCCCCATCGGGCGGTGCAGCGGTGGGGAATACGATCCTCCCCCCGTGGCGAGCATCATTGCGTCTCACACGAGTGTCTTCACCTGCTAGCGTCAGGCAGGGAAACCCTGACCCTCCTGCAGGAGCCACTCGGACTGGTTGTGCCGGATCATGCTAATCTCTAGACCCTTCTATCTAGTTATCACCGTCACTAGATTCATCAGCCATGGATCTGAGGCGGCACGGTTCACTTCCCCCCTCCTTCGGGGACCATCCATTGAGCCTTCTCTTTCTCGATTCGGGGAATGCAGAGCTGAATCTTGAATGGCACCATGCCATCTTTCACTGCTCATTGGCAGTCAGCCTCCAATCCACCAATTTAGGGTGGGATCCCATCCCGTGCAATAGTATCAGGCTTCAGGTCTGGTGGATAAATCCTGAAAAACCCGGCTCGGCAAAGTGAAGTATCAGAAAAATAAAAATAAAGAGAAAAAAAAAATGAAAATAAAAATAATAATCCAATAAAAATAATTAAAAAAAAATAGAAAAGGATTTTGTAGAGGGAAAACGGGCCGACAGTATGCCGCATGCGGTATGCGTCCAGCTGCTGGGAACATGGACTAGACACAATAGCCCCAAGATAACTCCGGTGTTCGATGTAGGTCCACGCTTCGGGAAATATACTTCTTCTGCATCGTTATGAGATGTCGTCATCCACAAAGATTCAAAAGACGCAGGTGCCCATTCACCGCAGTTGGCTCACGGCAATGCCAATTCGGAGGTGAACTGTGAACGCCTGTCAGGTCCTCTCTCTCTTCACCCCCTCACCTCATCTCTCTCAAATCATTCGTTGGGCCATGATCTTACCTAGGGTATAGCCAATTTTTGCAATTGCTCTTGTTTCCCTTTTGCGTCGGTCTGTACCTGATCCTCACACCAACCCTTGCCACTCGCATCCCTCCTCCTCCACCTATCTTGGTTGGGATAACCTCTCTTGGATGTCTGCTTCTTGTCTCTCACCCACCCTCCTCCTCCCTCACGTCCTCGGATTTGGAATATCCCGAGTCAGCATGTCATCCTCACCAGTACAGACCATTGTGTCGGTACCACAACCGGCCAAATGTGCATCAGGCCCACCGAGCCCAGGCGAAGCAACATTGACAGACCAGACTATAGTCAATGAGCTCTCAGAGAAGGTGGAGGCCTCACACAATCATGCAGGCAACAACCCCTGGGACCTTGAAGCCCAAGAGCACAAGGTGAAGAAGCTATCTCGAATCCGGTATGCCTTGCTCAACATCTACCGTCGTCTCTTCACCTTGGTCTTCCTGGCCAATGTGGCCGTGTTCGTGGCCATCATGGTTACAGACCGGACCCTGTTAGCCCTGGTCAACGCCACCGCCGGCAACCTGATGGCATGTGGTTTGGCACGACAGCCGTTGGTGGTCAACTCCATCTTCATTTCCGTCTGCTCTATACCAAGATCAGCCCCGAAATGGTTGCGTCTGTTGGCCGCAAAGGCGTATCATTATGGCGGAGTGCACAGCGGATGTGGCGTAGCCGCTTTCGTTTGGTATGTGGGCTTCGTGGGCGTGATGTCTCGGGAGTACTGGACCGGAGCGTCGGTTCTATCCCTTGCGCCCGTTGTCTTAGCATACGTTATTCTTGTCCTGCTGCTGGCAATCATCGTGGTGGCCCACCCGAAGTTCCGCTTTAAGAGGCACGACTACTTCGAGCTGACGCACCGGTTCTCTGGATGGCTCGTCGTGGCACTCTTTGTGATATTGCTCATGATCTTCGCCGACCAGGCCAAAGAGGCGTACCATGAGTCTCTGGGTCGGTTCCTCGTCACTCTTCCTGCGTTCTGGTTCTTGATGGTCACGGTCGTGGCAATCATCCATCCCTGGCTTCTTCTCCGCAAAGTCCCCGTCCGGGCCGAATACCTCTCCTCGCATGCGGTGCGTCTCCACTTCACGCATACCACGACGAATTTCGGCAAGGGCATCCAATTATCCCGACACCCACTGCAAGACTGGCATGGCTTTGCCACGTTCCCGGACCCAGAAGGTAAAAGCTTCTCTGCGTTGGTGTCCAAAGCCGGGGACTGGACGACAGCCTGCATCCAAGACCCACCCACTCACCTCTGGAAGCGAGGGGTCTTGATTAACGGCTTCGCATACGCGATGCGGGTCTTCAAGCGCGTGGTGGTTGTAACGACAGGATCCGGAATCGGCCCGTGTCTTTCCTTCCTGGGGGATGCGAACCGGCCAGAACTTCGAGTACTCTGGCAGACGCGGGCACCGCTCAAAACGTACGGTCAGGATATCCTGAACCTGGTGTCTGAGATGGACACGAATCCGGTCATCATCGACACCAACCAGGCAGGACGAATCGACATGGTCCCGATTATCCGACAGATGGTCCGGGATTTCGACGCCGAGGCTGTCTGTGTTATCAGCAATCCATTCGTCACAAAGAAAGTGGTATACGAACTGGAATCTCACGGAATCCATGCATATGGACCCATTTTCGATTCATGATGTGCATATCTTCCTCCATCTATGTAATTGCTTTTTCTTCTTCTCATGTTCATGGTTATGTGATATCTTTTTTATTGTTTGATGAAAATATCCCCGGAGTTATTATTGGAGTTCAAGGCGGAAAGATGAAAGACGAAGTTGAAGAAAGGATGCGAACGGGAGTCCAAAGGAGCAAAAGGGTATTAAGGAGTTCACGCGGCAGACACATGGTATTTATTCTTTGAGTGATGGCGTTTCACATATGGTCGAAAAGGAGGGAGGGCAAGGCGAGGCGAATACGGCAAGAAAGAGCGGGAAAGCGAAGGTGGTGGTGAATGAATATCGATATTGTTCAAAGTGCATATACTACACTCAAATAGTGATGAATGAGTGAACTGAAACATAAGGGAAGAATAGATGTACACACACTTACACACAACGAAGCAAAGTTATCTTCACCAACAAGGTAGCAAGTAAGCGTAGCATCAGTAGCATCCAAAGGGGGACCCCCATCCCACTAAATAGTTCAAATAATCCCAAACAAACCAAACCACTAGTCATTCAATCCATTCCCCAACTACTACCAACCTACCAACTAGAACCATCTAACCCAACAAAAAATAACAAAGTACTAGTACTACATACCCTACGACATGCAGATTACCGATCCGATCTGCAGGGGGGGGAGGTTTTAATAGAGAGTGAGAGGGAGAGCAAAAGGGCCGAGACAAGGCTTGTGTAGCACGAGATACCTACCAAAAGTTCAGTAGAGGAATAAATCTGGGTACGTGCATGAGATTGTAACCTGATTATTGAATAGTGGGTGGATGGGTGCAGTAGATGTCACACACACATACACACAACACACGCAGTTTACGAGGATGAGAGGATGGAATAAAATGGAGAGGACGGGACCGACTGGCCTGGCCAGTTCAGATCAAGGTACCTACGGAGTAAACAGGATAAGAATAAGTAAGCAAGGGTATGGTTGACTGGTGAGGACATTTATTGATGTGAATTGGGGAGTTAAAGCTGTACCTACCCGGATTGTGTCACACGGAGCTTTACTATACCTGGTTTGGCTTGGGTTGGGGGATTTGCGACTATGGGGTTACTAAAGGGCGATCAATTGTTCTTTATTGTTACGTTTGATAGTTTGAGATGGAGGCTTCGATTCAGGAAAAAATTATCGTTTTTCTTTAGTTCTATTAATCAGGTATATTGGTAGCGATCTTGACACTCTTATTTTTTTGAGGACAACAACAAAAGGTGGTTGGTGCAGAACAGAAGAAATAGCCAGGTTTGTGACATATTTGTAGCAACTATGGGTATCATGCAGACTGTGAAAATTCCCCACTCCGTGATAAGACAATGAAAATTCTAAGACAAACTTTTTTTTTCTCCGATATTCCCCCTTTTTTTCGTTTAATCCCATGCCATCGGTATTAGAGAGTTCATTAGGACATGGCAAGCCAATTTGTTGAGAAGTGACTGTTGAGAGCAACTGAGATGAATCCGAATCTTTAGGATTTATTAATCGTCCAATTCGTTAAAAATCGTAACGTCGTAAGCGGCGTAGCTTGGTATGGACATCTGTCGAGTCCAGGTTTGTTGAAAAAGAAAAGAAGATAGATGAAGGAAAGTCAACGGTGAAGTTAAAGGTGTTATGTGCGTCTTGAGCTTTGGGAATCGACAGACGGCGCTCGGTTGCTGGCTGCAGGTACCGTCGGTTCCGCAGTCAAGTCATCGGTTGTCAGGCGAGAGCGACCCCGGATTGAAGAGTGGGTAGAGTCACTGTCCAGTCGAAGGGAGTCCATGCGCTCCAATTGCTCATACTCGGGCAGGTGAATGGGGGATCCGTGATAGTCCTCCATGATGCTGTCACCATCGAGCATGGTGTATCCAGGCGGGCTGGCAGGCACATCTTCGTACACCGGCGGCATCTCTTCATCCCAGCTGATGCCGAGACCGCTGCGCTCCGTAACATGAAGGTGGAACTGCATGCGCAAGACGCGCGCCGCCCCGGTGGGAGTAATGAGCTTGGGGTTCCGGTTCGGGCAGAACTCCTCAGCCACGATCAATTCAATGACAAGGTTGTGTCTCGCTTCCAAGCCACCAGGGGTTTCGAGATCGCAAACAGGGTTGCAAGAAGGGTTGATGTTTGCCTCGAACTGCATGCTGATTTCGCCGCCAGCGGTGTCGAAGTCAGTCTTCCAGCCCTCTTTCTCTTCGTTGTGGCCGATGATGCGCGTCTCTTGGTGGAGGACTCCCTTGCCCTCGCCCCCGATCTTGTGTGCATGCTTGGTGCAAGCGGTGGACACGATCTTTTGGTGTTCTTCGATCCGCCACATCATCTTACGCAGGCGCCACCGAGTCTGCGTGTCCTCCTTCTTGTCCACGATTCCGCTCAGAGTCATCTGAACGGGAAAGGTGCCAATCGGGTGCACAACAGAGGGAAGAACGATGCGGCCGGTGAGGTTGGTAGGGGGGAAGATGCGGATTGAGGACTTGTCGTTTCCGGGAAGGATGGCACGCTTGATGTGCACGGGCATCTCGTAGGTGTATTCCTCGCCGTTGACGTTGTGGGCACGCGCAGAAAGGAAGTACTCGACTTGACCGAGGGAACCGTTGCAGGAGGCGGGCAGATGACCGGGGAACAGGTAGCTGAAGGGGAATTCATGGTCGCCATTCTTGAGATGAAGAGGCTCAGTCAGGAAGTTCCAGTGAGTCAGTTCCTCCGTGCGCGATGCGCAGTTGGCGCAGTCTCTGGAAACAGGCTTCTTCGTTGTCAGTCTGCTCATCAGGCGCATATCGAAAGTGTCCAGGGTGACCATGCCAGCCAGCTCGGAGATGCTGATCTTCAGGCGCCCTGAGAACAGCGCACCAGTGGAGTTCGCAGGGGATCCGTAGCACACAAGCGGCGGGGATTCGACAATGACGTCTAGTTTAGCATGAGCATTGGCAATCTCCTCTTGTCCGGCGCGCTCCTTGGAACGGGAGGACCGGCCATGGCTGCGTCGCTTGTCCTTGCTGTGGTCACGGTGGGGGTGGATAAGGTGTTCGACGGCAAAAGACAGACGACGCTCGGGTGAACGGGCTCTTTCCGCACCATGCGTGGACGGCTTCTTGGAGGCCACTGTGTTCGGTGGGATCTCATTCACAGACGACGAGGACGAGGAGTTGGAGTGGGAGACGGAAGAATGGTGAGAGGAGTGGTGGTGGTGAGAGAGGGAAGGGCGAACAAAGCTGGAGAGAAGACGGCCAGGCATGGTGTCAAATTTTCAAGTGGCTAACACTTTGAGTTTGTGACAACCGTGCCGGGCAGAAGAGTATGAGAAGTTGTGAGAGCCGGCTTTATAGGCCCCTACTTCAGCTGTGGAGAAAATGTTCCGGTGGGTGGTTGCTGTGAATGGGATGGGGATGGTTCGAAGACTAGAGATTGTATATGTAGACGCTGCTGAACAATGACTTAGGAAGTGATTGTTTAGGAAGTGCTTCGATATTGGTAGAGTTGCGATGTGTGGTAGACGACCAAGTACATAATCCAGTTGACGTGTGGTGGTATTGTTGATGTTCTTCTAGATGTTGCTGTCAAGATGATGGAGTATCCAAGCACCGGTACGGAGGATACAATGGGCAGTGTGGTATAGTTGAAGTCACCACTTGGGTTCAGATGCTATGGGATGGTGAAGGGAAGATGAGATGAATTGGGTGTGACAGAACCAAAAGAATCAAGAAGGGAAGAATAAAAGTGGGAGAGCAGCTGCCTTTGAATGAACGCAACAAGCTTTTTTATTTTTTTTTTTTAATACCAGATATATTTCCCCAAGAGAGAAAAAAAAAAAGAGGACTACCTCAAAAATCGAAATTTCTACTCCTGAGTTTTTACTTTCCAAATTCGCCCTTTTTTTAGTATGGTTTCTTCTAGGACGTTCCCACCGCATGTAACAGGTGCCATTCATTCCCTGGTCTGGCCACCTTCAGGGCTCCATCTCATCGGGCGGACGATGGAGGTTGAGTGGGGCCCGGCAGAAAAAGCGTCATCGTGGGCCTTACATTACGCTTTCCGTACGTGACAAAACGGCTGTCTCCGGCGGAAAGCGTCTGCGTCTGAGAAAGTAGAAACACACTCGGTTCCTGTTGTGCTGCTGGGCGGAAGGATTTCCCCGAGGAGAAAAGCGTGCGCCATGCAACAGAATGGTTTGACAGGCTCACAGGCTCCATCAACCATTGTCATCGATGTGTAGCTTACACAGGATCTTGCGTGATCTAGATGATGAATACTTGTTGTATGGGAGAATTACATTCAATGAATGGGACAATCTAGATCTGGGGACTCATCATCAGTGGTTAATGTGTCCCCACGGTGGACTTCACAATAGATGCCATCGACTCAATTCTAGAATATTCAAGGACTCGTCAGCCTATGGCAACTTGGGGTTGATCATTCACAGTCTCATGTCAATGTCATCTATCCGCAGTCTGACCCCAACCCCGGATCTGTGATTCTGAATAATCAAATGTATGGCAATAATCAAGGCGTCAGACAGTCTTGTCCTCGGCTAAATCCTACGGATGCTGCTAGTAGTATTTGTTTCGACATCAGCGCAAACATACACGCCTTACTTACAGGTTGATTCGTTTCTCTTCGCAATTCAACGCATGTGATACTGTCCGGGCTCATGCAGTCTGCTTCTGAGAAAGACGTGCTACTACCTGCATGAAGTGTGTTTTACGAAGCTGCAACAAAATCGTATTTAATCTACCCTGCTGCATCACTTGAACACTTCGCTAGCCACAAAGCATGGTGATTAGCTCTCCGATGTCCCTCCGTCGAGGCCGTGCGCAGTGACTCACTCCTACCCCATAGAAAATGGACTTAGTCTGGCTGTCCCTGGGTCCGGAACGAAGTCCCTCCCCTGGCTGTCGATCGTTCGCTCGCGAATGTTTGCGTGACCCAGGCGCGTATTCGTAGAGAGGCGGTGATGATTTGACGCAATACCTACTAGTGATTATTCAGAATGAACTCGTGGTCCTAATGATCGGGCTTCGAGATCATGCCAAATTGCTCAGTGATGTTGTCATGTCCTTTTGTTGGAGATCCGAACCAAGGATAACGTTAATGGGGCTGACTAAGGTTCTAGACAGTATTCCCCTCCAGGTCAGGCCACAATTTGATTGGGCCGTTGTATAGTTGGGGGCCCAGGGCCTGCCACGACAACCATAGTACGTACTCTATTGACAGCATTAGTAGAGAGCCAATTCTTGATGTGGTGCCTGATGAGCAATGGAGAGATGGAAGACAAAGAAGCATGACAAGTCACTCAAATCATCATAGTGTTTCCGGCACCGAATATCCGTCCAAGACGGCAGCCGGGACCTGAGCCCGTAACGACACCTGACAAAAAGGGCGCTTTCTTTGCTCGTTCAGGAAGGTCAGCTGCCGTCATCAAACCATCACGTGGCGTCATATAGTGGCAGAGAGAGCCCGAAATTCTGAACAGTTGCAAGGCGGTCTGGCGCAAGTTTTGCGCGTACGAGCGGTGACCGGCACCGTGACGCGGGTATACATTACCATACCGCAACACGTTGCGACACTAATTGGAGATCCTCTGGATCCGTGATGCCGCTTGCACTTTTTGAGCCAACGAGGCGCTGAATCCGCGGACGGAGGAAGACGCTAGCCCCATCAGAACCAGATGTTTTGCGTACGGAATGGGAACCTTTTGGGAAATAATCCAAAAAATTTCTTTGCAGAGTTTTTATTCCATTGCAGCGCCTCTTAAGTCTTGAGGTTACAGCTCGGCCAGGTTCCACATCCCGACAAGGCCAAAGGGAGAAAAAAAGGAGACTAATATGTCAAGGGCAAATTCGAAGAGAAAATAAAAATCTTGATTAGGATATGTGCCTTTTTTTTTTTTCTTTTCCACCCGCACGGTACAGCGGTACCCTGTTCCGATGAGACTTGGTTGAGTGGCTTGTCAAGGGCTCGGGCTCAGGCACTGAGGACCTGAATGACGAAGCTGGCTGCAGGCTCTCCTCGTTATTGCCATTCCTGGCCAAGTCTCACGATGGTTTTGACGGCGCTAACAGGGACCCCTTTGCTCAGGAGGAAGATTCCGTTGTTGCTCACTGCAAGGCGATAGGTTCGCCTTTTTCCCCGCACTGCTGAAAATTCCGTTCTATGCGGGGCATCACATCATCCGGCTGCAGTTGCCGGTCGGTCGGTGTAGATGAAAGTGGTGGTTAGTTAGCCTCGTAGGATAGTATGAGGGTTGCGTGAGAAAACAACAATTGAATTGGGAAATAATATCCAAAAAGTAATATGTAGTTAACATATGATATTCACTACTAATGTTGAAGTTCTAGACTAAAGCAACGTGCGTTGTGACTTGGCCAGGGACAGTTCTGACGTTCTGACGAATGACTACCCATTGCCGCCATACCCATTACCTAACAGTTTCACCACCACCCATTGAGCTGCCAGGACGACAGCATGCGCAATGTGAAATGATCGGTCTGACCTCTGACGATCCAGGTACCTTGGCCGACTTTTCACCCTGATGGTCCTCCAGCTGTCGGCTTGACCGTCCCGGTTTCCTGAGAGTTTCGGCACATCTTGTCACTGACGGCCACGGATGGCCGATTCGATCACGCCACGAGTTCGGATGTTACTATACAGGATTTTAGCCTCAGTGTTACCCGCCAAGCCTCATCGACAAAGTACTGATCAGCTCATGTTATATGATCGCTGGCCTGTCCATATATGAGGATGTTAGAGAATTGACACTGACTGTATCAGGCTAATATCTGAGTCGGCAAGGGCCGCCTCCAGCTGATGCTCCTAAATTCTTCTACATCAAGTTAATCTTGGGGAAGCGCCGACGCAGGTGCATGCACTAGATCTTGGTCTATTGCGCAATACACTGATGATCAGACCGTGAAGATTGCATCCGGTGACCATTCTTCACTCTCACAGAATCCTCCTTACTGCCGATATGATTCCCCAATTGCGTGAAACTCACCATCCAGACTAGTCTTTGCTCTATAATACGAATCTGTTTGCTATATGGCGATCGATAACAAACCAACTCCGACAGAGTATGATCACATTCCCCATAAATGCTAGGTTCTTTTTTGCCAATCGCCTAGTTTCACCCAGCAGGAGATGTCTAGATGAGGGATTTCTACTACTCCTGCCTGAGCACGCACGGCGGTTGCGTTATTAACCGCCATCTTCTGGACTAGTGCCGTGACGGCTTCATGAAACCCCTCCCAGCTTGGATGTGCAGAAGCTTGGACCCATTTCATGCAGCTGCAAAACAGGTAGTACGTAGTAGCAGTGAATGGTCATATTAATGATGCCAACTACGAATGCTATAGCATTTTCTTGCAAGGTGCAAGGCCATGTTTACCGTTGCGCCCTTTCCATTGGGTCTTTCCGCGGAAACCCCTCCCAAAGGTGGATGAGGGTATGTAGTGGACTAGCGGTACGCCGCACCCCCCCCCGTTTTTCTCGAATGGGGCTTGCCCACCGGCCCGGCTCTCTTTTCATGGTTAGCTTTGGCGGACTCCATGCGATGACTCTTCACCATGGCACTAGCGCCTCAGAATTTTCTCTCCTTTCTCCTCCAAGGTCTCTGGACGAGCTAAATCACTCACTAAATGAGGATTTAGCGGGAATTACACCATTCTGGTCCCAGGACTTCGGCGACTGCCGTTGTCCCCCAATTCCCTTGCCCGGTAAGGTCCTCGACGGAAGTCAGATCGGTCCGTGGGTACACCACTTGCAGTCTTTGGTTGACGCCGTACCTGCCGTCCGCTCAGGTTGATGCTATCCACTTTTTACCGCCATTCCTACACAAATCCATATATTCCATGACTAACGGTGGCCCGATCGTCTCGGATATCGTCGCTCAACTTATTTGCTCTATTTGCCTAGACCGACTGAGAATTGCCACGACGTCTGTGTTTACGTTTCATGGCAGATTCATGGTTACTTATAATCTTACTATCAAATAGACTCGAGGGCTCTTAAACCCCGCGGGGGTAAAGTCTGGCACATTGATACCATCATGTCTCAGACTGGTCGTTTGAACATGATTGCGTCGCAAAGTCTATGCTCGGCGGTATATCCATGGCTGTTTTCGACAATAATTTTCTAGTTCATAGCCACTACCCGCGGCATGATGCGCAGCAATTGCCATGTGAACCGACTCTAGCAGTGAGTGTGTCCGCGGGTTTTCAGCCCTACAATACCGGCTATCAGCACCCGAGAACTTAGATGATAGGATATTGCACGAACGTTCGTAGCCAAAACCTTCTGTTTGGAATTCACTCCGGCCGAATTACACAGGACATGAGTTTCTACCAGGTTAAGCAGTCTTGCTTATCCCACGTGCTAGTGCAATCCATCTTAGGAAGTTCTAGAAGCCACTGGTAGAGAGAACTGCATACTACTGACTGTACTCTCGAAACTCAACTACGTTCAAACATGGGCTAACTTACGGTCTGTCATTGACCCTCCTGGATACTACCGATCTCTAGCGACTATAGTCACTGGATCTAGATCCAGCTACTTGTTTATGGCCATTATTAAAACCAGGAAAGAGAGTGCTGAACCATGGCCATGTGATGACGTCTCTATCTAATCTGGCCCCTGCTACCGCCGACTCTACCCGCGGAAAAACACTAGAAGCCGACAAGGAATCTCTAGAATCTTTGATCAATATATCGATTCTATTGTATTCCTCATCATTGGCTATACCTGGTACTACTAGTTTGACTGGTCGTCTTTTGGGACCGGAGAACCGCGGGGTCTCCGTACTTTGCCCGATACAGTCAGTCTCTGGATGCCGTCGAGCCGAGACAATGTCTCTTTTCCAAATACCACCCTAAAAATATTTCTAGTCGTTCCTTGATTTGTATATCGACATGAAATTTGTAAGCAGTTCAGGCTAAGAGCGAAAGCATCCATGATGATAGCCTTATCCTAGTACTTCGGAAGATTGACCGGGTCAGCGAAGAGACCTGCAATGCAAGTGCTCTGTGACATTCATGTGATTGGTGGGGGCCATAATCTTCTATTCCGCGCATAGGGCTTACTAATTTGTGTCAACCGGATCAGGAAGGTGACAGCTGAGATGTTGAGAGATACGTATACTGTTGCTGAAAATGGATATGATTGAAGTCAGTAAAAAGCCTAATCAATATTACTAATGTTGACATTTGAGTCAGCTTATGGTTGACATTAGTTAACATTAGGCCCTTGGTACTTTTGATGTCATTGGCGTCGCAATGCAATGCTGGTAATGGAACGCGCAATGCTAGCTGCATTCATCAAACTTGCTTTGGAGGAGCTCCTCCGTGCATTTGTAAAAATGGTGAGGCTTTAGATGCTCTTCTGATGCTACTAAGTAAGTCTGTATTGTTTCAGTACAAATGTGAGGAATGCTGGAGTACATGTTACCAACGCCAAGTTACTACTACCAGTAAAATATATAACCCACAGTAACAGAGTAGACCTCATGATACCAGTATATATTCTCAGGATTATGATTATTTTCAAGTCAACGTACTACTAGTACTTGGAAATTCGAGGTTGTTTGAATAACATAAGCTACATACCCTCTGATAAATCAATAAATTCCACAACTCGGAAGATTTATCACACTAATCTCCTACAATTAGAAATTTAATTGGAACTATCTTCCGATGTACTCAATCCGTAAGTCACGTGGTGATAGCTCCGCGTCCGGGAGACATGGAGCTCTAGAGATCGTCAACCCAGGACCCTGAGGTGAATCAACTATTTATCCCTTTTTCCAATCCTCACCATTCAACCCATCGGGGTCACTCTCCCCTAAAGATGTCCCAATTCGAGTAAACCAACACAGTTTGTATTCTATAGCCAAACAATTGGTGGATTACAACACCCAGAAATCACTTGCATCATTTCATGCAAGCGGCGAACGGTCGTCGAATATCCCCCCCAAAAAAGCACCCCGTTGAGCTCCTACTAGCTTCTCCCACAATTTGTCAAACCTCCCGACGATCCAATTACTCCTGTCCATCCCCTTCATTCCTAAAGTTCAACGTCCAAATCACCCCTTTTCGAATACTCCCACGCCATGTCCCCGTCAACATTACTCTCTCTCGGTTCCGCGATTCTAGCCGTGTTCCTCTTCTGGACACTCTCCTCCACCACGTCTTCACCATTCGGCGGTGCATTTCCTCGTCTATACAACAAGCGAATATGTCTCCTGATCGCCCACCCGGACGATGAAGCCATGTTCTTCGCGCCCACGGTCCTGGCCCTGACCAGACCGGAGTACGGCAACCACCTCAAGATCCTCTGTCTCAGCAGTGGTAAGCAGCACCCACATAAACCATCGAACAAACACCCCTCTCCCCCAATATACACCCACTAACATCAACCCGCGACATAAACAGGAGACGCCGACGGCCTGGGCCACATCCGCAAAAAGGAGCTCGTGAAAAGCGCTCTGCAACTAGGCCTACGCCAAGAATCAGATGTATACATCATCGACGACCCTACCCGATTCCGCGACAGCATGACCGTCCAATGGACCGAGTCCGACGTATCAGCTGTTCTCGAACACGCCTTTGCCCCCGAACTCAGCGACAGCACCTCTTCTTCCAAGAAGAAATCGAACAAAGCCGGCTCTGCACCTACGGCCACCATCGACGTGCTCTTGACCTTCGACAAGGGAGGTATCAGCAACCACCCTAATCACCGGTCTCTGTACCACGGCGCTGTTCATTTCCTGCGGTCCCTGATGAAGGATAAATCGGGGTATACCTGTCCGGTTACTCTGTATACGCTTACCACGACGAATCTGCTGCGCAAGTACGCCGGTGTTTTGGATGCGCCGTTTACGATGGTTCGGGGCGCGCTGCATTCGGTTCTGGGCCGTGGTGGTGCTGGATCTAAGGGCCAGCTTCCTTCGCGGCTTCTGTTCGTCAGTTCTGTTAATGAGTGGATGACTGCGCAGTCGGCTATGGTTAAGGCCCATCAGAGCCAGATGGTGTGGTTCCGCTGGGGTTGGATTACGATTGGTCGGTACATGGTGGTGAATGATTTGAAGGCGGAGAAGATATGATCATAAAGCCTGGTTATAGGCTCAGTGAACTGACTGGATAGGTGCCATGTGTTTTGTAACCTATACCCGCATTGTATGTATATGATTATGATTGTTTCCTTGGTGGACTGACGTTGTCTGAGGTATATAATCAGACGTCAAGTCCCATTTCTGTATAGGTATGCACTCTGTCGTCTTAAGAAGAGTATGGCTCGAAAGATTGATACTGACTACTGTTTTGCTTACTGAAAGACAATACTCTCACAATCAAAAGAATAATGATAATATTCGAAAAGCATAAAAGAGCTCAATATGTAACATGTCATATAGACAGGGTATCCGCTCAGGTAAGGCAATACATGCACACATGAGGTATCATAACTGACAGCCAAAGATCAGCTCATCATATATCCCGCTTCAGGACACGAAGAAAAGAAAAGCGAAAGAAAGAAATCAGGGCTGAGTGAAGGTATTCGCGGATTGTTAACTTTTCCAGATGCGGAGATGAAAGTCACAATCGAAGTCATAGAAAAGGAGGGAAAGAAGAAAAAGAAGGTGGTGATGAAGAAAGTGAAAGAAAGCGAAGTGGCTCGGATATGAGCTAGAATCAAGCCCATGAGAGAGGACCCGGACCTGTGGTTATGGGATCGTCCTCTCCTGTTTGGCGTTCCCAAGTGGTAGAGCGCGCTTGTCTGGGCGTCCTTGCGGTAACTCTAGGGATCTCATACTCGCCAGTTTCGTATCCCAGTTCTTCCTCCAGGAAAGCTTCGTCGTCGTAAGTGCTACTGACATTGTCTTCGTGGACAGCCTCGAAAAGCCTTCTCAGGGGTGGAATGGACATGTCAAGATGCGGGGAAGATTGTCGATAATAATCCCAGAAAATGTCGTCGTCTATATCGTTTGCGTCGTCATCAAGCTCGAAGTTCATTCCGAAGGTTGGCCGCCGGACTGGTACTCTGTCATGGGATCTAATATTACGCTGGCGCCAAGAGGTAGCACCATCGAATTCGACGAGCCCTCCTCGGGTATGGTATACCACGGACTCCGGCAAAAAGTCTCGCCATTCTTCCAGCGCCTGTGGAAGAAGGGTCCGTTCCCACGCTTGGTTCCGACGACCCAGCCAACGATGGTGAATCAGCAATAGTCTTGCAAGACGCTCCATGACAACGGTTTGCTGCATAGTGCGCAAGCGCAGAATGTCATATGCGTGCACAGCATCTGCAAAGGCTCGTGATTTGAGGATTTCCGTTTGTGCCTGTCCTAGATACGCCTCTATGATCGACCTCGCAGTTCTTCTCTTCTTTCTTGTCTCCCTTAGAATATTATACGCAGCTTCCATATGGTGCTGGAATTCCGACAGCCTGGCGCGATCCCACGCAGTTTTGGCGAGGATATGGTGCACCTCGATTGTTGGACGCACGTTGAAAGGCTCGGAAGTCATTGTTTCGAACATGGAGTTGAGGAAGTCATATGAAACCTGGCCCTTCGCATTTCTTTCAGCGTCGGGGCCAAACCTCGGACGCGACAAAACGAACGATCGCTCAAATAACTCGAGCCAGACATTCTCCGGCACCGGGATGTCATATTTGTTCGAAATAAAATCTATGGTGCGCAGCGCGGCAGGGATGTCATTGTTGGTGCCAAAGGCATGAGCTACGGCGAACAGCAGGTGGTTTGTGGGGTACAGCGGTGAGGAACGGTCGTATGGGGTCACTTCTGGAAGCATCGACTCGTCGACCTGGTCTAGCAGCGCATCGACGTCAATGTTCCAGACGGTGTGCAGGACATTCTTGATTCCTTGCATATGGCCAACTCGGCTTGACGCAAGGATCACATTGACAAAGGTGGTGGTGTCCCCCGAGGTACCCTCCTGTGTCATCTCGTTGAAGATCTGCAGCACTTCTTTTCTCACACTTCGGGCAGCCGTACCGTAACCTTGCCATCCGGGGTTGGGTTCGAAGAATCTCCTCTTCCGATACAGATAAGGGGTCATTCTGAGGCGATACTTCTCCAAGCCGGTATATGCTCTATCCCAGACTTTCGCCTCCATGTAGTAATTATAGCACTGGGAATCTGGCACCATTCCATCCTCCCTAATTGTTTGCCAGATATAGTCTGCCATGATAGCATCGCCCATTGAGCGTGCGCAATTGAGCAGGTGCGTGTACTCAGCCAGGCCCAAGGGTTGGCCGCCCGCCCACCTAATTTGCAGGATGGCAGAAAGGTTACTGGCAAACTCGTCGAAAATCGAGTCCAGTGATTTGTACTGCTTGACATCAACAGCCGACGGATGAATGGGACGATGGATTTCCCGATAGGGATCGATAAAGTAAGCCGGGGAGAGGAGATGAAAGACTTCGACAAAGGTGCTGGGTGGCATCAAGCAAACCAAGCTCTCAAAGCGAGGATCAAGCATCGCATCCATCACCTGGTCTGGTTGGCCATCTCGGAGGATAGCGTTGAAATGTCTCTTCACATCCTCAAAGCTCTCGACCCGGGGACCAGCCCCAATGTCGTGCCCTCTGTCGTCTTGTGCATTGGAGATCTCATGATCGCCCAAGTCAATCTGACCAGGTTCCAGTATGTCCGTGCCTCCCCGTCCCAGCTGTGGAGCATGTCTATTAGCGAACCAGCCTTTATTCCTAGAATGATTGCTGCTATCATCGTTCCGATATCGAAGATGTAAATGTGATCCGGATGATCGTTGGCGGCGCGTAGGATCCCGAAGTATAAGAAGTGGAGAACAGCGAGGTAGGTGAGTTAATCGACATCGACGGTACGTAGGACACACCAAATGAGAGCCCAAGCTCTCGCTGGTACGAATGAACCCCAGCATTGCGAACTGAGGACAGGAAACATGAAAGAACGTAGGAAAAAAGCCGGGGGGTGTTCAGGCCGTCAGAAGTCGGGGGGAATCGAGCTGCGACTATAAAAGCGGAGTAAATGAGGAGGTGCCGCTTGTTGTGGTCTTGGCGGGCCAGATCCCTGTCAGACTCTGTAGCCTTTTTCACCATCCATGTCCCGCGTCTGCTGTACACGCTGCAGCTTGGATCCTTCCCCCCTTCCTTTCGTTCGCTTAGCTTAACGCTTCAGTCTCTCCTTTTCCACCCACCCTCGACCTCGACATGGCCGACACCGAGGATGCGGGCACATCGTCCGTCTCCGAGCCCTTAGATCTGGTGCGCCTGTCGCTCGATGAAATCGTCTTCGTCAAGCTGCGCGGCGATCGCGAGCTCAAGGGCCGTCTCCATGTGAGTCCTACGCCTGCACCCCAGCCTCTGGCTACGTGGCTTTTACTGACAGATGATTTTGGGTAGGCATACGATAGCCATTGCAACCTGGTGCTAGGAGATGTTGAGGAGACCATCTACGTGGTGGAGGAAGACGAGAACGAGCAAGAGATCCTCCGGGTACGTCGTTCTATCCATTTACCTCGGTTATAGTACAATCGATTAGGGTGGTATTATAATAGTGCGGAGCTGGGCTAACGCAGGTTGATTGTCTTTAGACCATCAAGAAGCAAGAAGAGATGCTCTTCGTTCGAGGTGCGTTTCACGATGCCGTCCCCGGTAGAGCCCGGGGCTTGTCATACTAACCTTTCACGATAGGAGACTCTGTCGTCTTGATTTCTCCTCAGGCATAAGATTTGGGAGGCAATAATAAGTAGGAAGACGGATCACATCGGATATTCTTGGGGCCACCCCTCACCCAAGCTACGAAATACGAGACCACGAAGACACCAGGCGATGTTACAGGGTTTCCAGGCTATACGAATTTATCTTTTAATGTATTCACGTACTCGGTCATGCTTGGGCCTGCAGGTTTTCTTATATCAGTTATAGAGGCATCAGGAAGGTGTAAGGCGTGTGGTATCATGGCATCATGCCATACTGGCATATGTAGCGATGAAACCAACAGCAGCGACCAGTGTTTCTGGTTTGCAACCTGGCCCAAAACAGTTAATAATTACAAAATTGACTACTGTAGCGGTGACAAGACCATCATCATTCCAGCATAGCCTTAGCTGCATGGAGGGAATGACTGTGCTGAGCCGTATGACTCAATAATTTGCTTGGGGGCCGCACGAGGCGGCGATGACTCGCACTTTCCTATCGATAAAGCTTCCCCGGTTCCCTCCCCGACCCTCGCTGTCCATCTCTTCCCTCCTAGAATATCATTCACAAACCACCTTCTCATTCACCTGATTTGCTCCAGACCCTTCTCTACATCTTTATCCTCTTCTGTTTATTCTTACTCCCCTACCTGATCTCGTATCTATAGATAAAAGTATGATAACACGAATACGTGTCTGAGCGCGCCAGCGGCGATCCATCTTCCACCCGACCAAGTGACGCATCATATCGCAGATCGATAACGTGCCTTTGCTCCGAACTATTTTCTTTTGCCATCATCTTGATCATCGACCAATATAGCCATCAAAATGGGGACGGCTGGATTAAAGCCTTCGTTGGAAGAACGGCGGAGAGGCGAGATTGTGCGCATCCCCCCCGCGAAGCAATCTGGCATTCCCGCTAACACGTCGCCAATATTTAGGCCCTCAGCGAGTTCGCCGAGTACGCTGAAAAGCAACAGGCCCAGCGATCGGCTCAGTATTTGCCCAGTGATAGCGGCTACGAAACAGCCAGCGCAGCTCCAGTATCTGAAGACCATGCCGAACTGGATATTCTCGACCAGCTAGACCTCACGGATACCCCGAAACCGGTCAAGTTGAGGGAGTTGCTCCTGGGCACTGGTGAACAGCCAGACCATGACATCCAAGTCCTGGCCAACATCCTACAGACGCGCATTGACGAAGGACATGGTGAGACGCTCTTCGACCTAGGTCTTGAAGATGGCGGGGATTCCATGTCCTTTGATCTGAGCCAGTGGAATACAGCCTTACAGCGCTTGCGGGAAGCGGCGGAAACCCTTCCTGCTCACTGTCGGATCCTTGTTACCTACAATGTTGGCGGGCCTGAGGAATCGCGCGTGAAGCATGAGCGATTAAAAGGCTCTTGGGGCAAGCTCTTGATCCGGCAGCCAGCGGGCACCGTGGAGGAGATGGCTGAGATCCGCATGGCAGTAGTTGGCAATGTTGACGCAGGTAAGAGTACCATGCTGGGTGTGCTGGTCAAGGGAAACCTGGATGATGGCCGAGGAAAGGCTCGACTCAACCTGTTCCGCCACAAGCACGAAATCGAGAGCGGCCGGACCAGCTCGGTAGGGATGGAGATAATGGGGTTCGACAGCCGTGGTGACATTGTAAGCAGCGCTCATGGGCGGAAGATGTCCTGGGAAGATATAGGAAGACGTTCCGCCAAAGTAATCTCCTTCTCTGATCTTGCTGGGCATGAACGGTACCTGCGGACTACGGTTTTCGGCATGCTGAGCAGCAGCCCCAACTACTGTTTACTCATGGTCGCAGCTAACAATGGCCTCATTGGCATGAGCAAAGAACACCTGGGTATTGCTGTGGCTTTACACGTGCCGGTCATGGTAATTGTCACCAAGATCGACATTTGCCCACCGCAGATTCTGGAGGAGACCCTTTCCCAGCTCAGCAAACTTCTCAAGTCGCCTGGTTCCCGCAAGATTCCCATTTTTATAAAGGACATGGAAGAAACCATTAACACGGCGACACAGTTTGTGAGCCAGCGGATCTGCCCGATCTTCCAGGTGTCCAATGTCACTGGAGAGAACCTGGACCTTGTGCGGACGTTCCTGAATATCCTTCCTCACCGCGGCCAATACAATGTGAATGCTCCGTTCGAGTTCCTCATCAATGATACATTCTCCGTGCCCCATGTGGGTACAGTTGTGTCTGGGGTGGCCAAGTCGGGTGTGATACACGCTGGTGATACCGTTTTGGTTGGGCCTGACTCTCTCGGTCAATTCACGACTACCACGATCAAGTCCATTGAGCGCAAGCGTATTCAGGTCAACGCTTGTTTTGCAGGCCAGTCGGGCTCTTTCGCCCTGAAACGTGTCCGACGGAAGGAGGTCCGTAAGGGCATGGTAGTTCTTAAGAAGTTGGACCAGCCCCCGAAAGTCTACAGGGAGTTCGTCGCTGAGGGTGCGTCTACTACGTGTTCCCTTTCTACTTATTCTGTTGTACTGATTGATTAGTCCTGATCATATCTCACGCCACTACGATCAAGCCTCGGTATCAAGCAATGCTGCATGTCGGCGCAGTAAGTCAAACATGCTCGGTCATTGACATTGATCGTCCCTTCATTCGGGGCGGTGACCGTGCGTTGGTTGCGTTCAGATTTGTACAGCGTCCCGAATTCTTGGCCCCCGGGGATCGAGTGCTTTTCCGGGAGGGGAAGACCAAGGGACTAGGGGTTGTTAAAAGTGTGGGATACGATCCCAAACAGCCTTTGAACCCAGAGGCGAAGAATGCCGCGGAGACGAGCAAACAAGCCTGACCGGTTCCGTGGCTCTCTTACCCGATACATACATACTTTGAGATCGACATCGGCGTCCATATTCGGCTATGAGACCTTCGCAGTTTCTTCTGCGCGAATGTCAGAATGATTCAGATTTGGCACTGATATTCGTCGTAGGGTATTGCATTCTTACTACGAATTTTTCTCATAGTGTGTTTTCATTATTTGCTTGCTTCTGATGTGCATTTTGTGGTGGCGTTCGAATGAGGGAGACTAAGTATCTACGAGTCACCGTTCCAATTGTGCAGCCCCTAAGGGTCTCTGTCTTTGTCCATAGAATTCTAATTGACTTTGGTCTGCTGCTCCATCTCTTGCATTGTCGGTTGCCAGTTGGTCGGTCCAGTGTTCCCCACGTGACAGGTGACGTTCCTTGACGTCACGGGATGGAGTGATGACATCGCGGGTTTCTGCGATCGACACTATGCGCTCCTCATATGCTTGTCTGTTTGCGCTGCTTTCGCCTCGTGCCACTGACGTACTATAATGTATTGCTATTCTCTTGCCTTTCTAGAAAAACCGCATCCCGCAGATTAACCAGCCTTTTTGCAATCCCACCCACAGCTCTGACGACACAAGGTTCTTTGATTATCGCCTCCATCCATTCATAAACGAGGCGTCCGCCACCTCTGAAGTAGCTTAAGCTTACATTTCATCCAAATATCACACAATTGATTTCAACCATACATATAAACATGGAGACCATAAATCGAACCTTCAACAACGCCTCGAATGCTCTTTGGAACGAGGTCCATGCTAACCAAACCCCCGATAGCCAATTAAACCAGCAGCATGGCGATGAGCCTCTCTCGGGAATCCAAGGCAGAGGAACTGCCACCGATCCTTATGATGCCGGAAACCGTGACGGTAAGAGCCCCATCACTCACTTCATGCTCTGTCAGACGAATCACGAACCATTGAATGATCAAGTGAAGCTAACATCAATTAGAACAACCTGGAGCTCCTAGGACAAAGGATAACACCGCTGTCATCCCCGAACCACTTGCGTCTACCGATGCTGATCACGCCCGCAACCCCAAGTCACCTAGCAATGCCGACTACGGCCCCAAGAATGTTTTCATCAGTGAGCCACACCAGGGCCAGCAGATGAACTACCCCATAAGGGGTGTTTCATCTGGTATCAAACAAGGGCAGTCTCAAGCTGCCATTCCTGAGCAGCGAACCCAGACATCCACCTATGGTCAAGGAAGCCATGCCTCCGGTATGGGAAGCCAGTATACCCAGAAGAGTAGAGACACTGCGGGCTCGTCCTCAGCCACTAGCGGCGCGTATGCCTACTCTGGACAAGGAGTCCGGGACACCACAGATCTTCGTGAAGATGTCTCCGCGGCCAGGGATCAGGGAGTCTCGAGCAAGTCAAACATCTCCGGCCCTACTGGCGCCTATGCCTATTCTGGACAAGGAAATCAGGATGACATGGATGCGCAAGATCAAGTGAGGGTTCCTACATCGATAAAGAAGGATACGGCAAACCAACGGACTTCAAGTGCTGCACAATCTACTCAGCGCATGCCAGATAATGCAGCCAAATCAATGCAGAAGGAGAATGAGTACGGCAGTAAAGCGGTTGCTGGAGGCATGGCTGGAGGTGTGGCTGGGGGCGTCATTGGACAACAGGGAATGAAGAGCAATGCCGACCAAGGAGCTGCTCAGAGCGTCACCGACGATGGTGTCAGAACCCGCTCGATGCAGCAGGATACCACATCTCCTAGCTCAGCGATGGCGGGGGGCTCTGTCGGAAAGCAGAGTGCCTATGGTAACATCGATACGGCACGGGATACCCAACAAGAGAGATTGTCCGCAGCCAAGTCAACTCCATCAGCATCCGAGTCCACTCCCAGTGGAGTAGATTCAGTAAATGCAAGGAGCCAGGTGCCGAATAAAGAAGCTCGGGTTTATCAGGACAAATCAACGCAAGATGAGAGCGGCGCCGCGGTTGGCTCTGCCCAGAAAGGCAGCGGCGCAGGAATGACCGAAGAAGACGATGTTGACTCCCTGAAGAAAGGCAAAGAGAGCGCAGATGACACCGGGGACAAGCTTCCCAAGAACACCAAAGTCAGCGAGGAAGCTCTGAAAGGCCCTAAGACTCCTGCGAGGGAGCCTTACGAGTTTGAGAAGCGTTTGGATCGCGGGTACAGCCGCTCGAAACCATCAGGTTAGTAAAGCACTGTCTTATCACCCAAGAGAAATGAGTTTGACTAACCATATGTTAGGACCCGATACCAGCAAGAGTTCCAGTGAAGGAGCCGCCGCAGCTGCAGCACAAAAGAACAAGGCCAACGGAAACGGTCACCAGCATCACGGCCCCATTACTCAGTTGAAGGAGAAAGTGTCCAAGGTTCTTCATCACAATGGTAACGGCAACGGCAACGGCACGAAGGCATAAATGAGGTGGCTAATATGATATTTTTACGTTAATTGGTTGCCATTTCGAGATTGAACTCTTTCAAGGATTCCACAACTGTATTATTGGATTTGGGGACTGGACACGGTCGGCGCGGTAATGTTTGAAGTTGATTTCCTGGTTACATTCCTTATCAAGTTTGGAACACAATATCAGGACGGAAAATGAATGTATCATCATGTTTTTCTTTGGCCAAATGTATTGATATCCTGGGTAGAATGCAACTTATGGTTATTCTACAATCACATCACCTGGATTGGATCACCATTGCACCACTTCCATGCTACACTAAATCCTTCCTGTAGAAACCTCATCATAACACGTGGAATCACCCATTTTAGCTAATCGGAGGGTGTCTCCGTATATGCGATGTTCCTCCGATTGGGCTGCTTCCTGCAACTAAGATAGTGCCGGGTCCTTCGACTACTAATTAATGTAGTATTAAGGTCGCGCTGACTCCCCATCATCAACACTTTGTCTGCTTTACCACTCATCACTTATCTCGATGTCCTCATCTTCCGGGCCTCCCGCTCTAAAACCTCGTCGACGACGTGACAAACCTCAATTTTCGTGCATTGCATGCCGCCAGCGCAAGTCTCGATGCGATCGACTACAGCCCTGTACCAGCTGCGTCGCACGCGGTCACTCATGTGTCTATGTGGCCCGGAAGCCACCAGCATCCCCATTGCATCCTACGCCCGTTGGAGCACCCACTGGACTCCATGACCGGCTAGTCCACTTGGAGCGTCTCGTGAAGTCCTTGAAGCCCGACGGAGTCAACAATGACGAGGTCCGACAGCTTGCCACCCCGGATACCACTCCCAGCAGCAGTACTCGACCAGGGCCCGGTGGTAGTGTACTAGATACACAGTCGGATTGCGGCAGCATGCAAATCACCGACTCAGAGCTTCAGTATGTGGCCGGTGAGCACTGGGCGGCCATTCTGGACAGCATTGCCGACCTGAAGGCGCATTGTGATCGTGAAGAACAAGCCAGAATGGCCAACTCTATTGAAGAAATGAGTGTGAAACCATCCCACCGACATGCGTTATTGCTCTACGGATGTGAAAGGGCTGCCTCACGGGCTGAAATTATCGCCGCATTCCCACCAAAGGCCGCTGTTGACCGGTATATTTCGAAGTATTTCAACTATCTCGATCTGGTCGCTTCTGGTGAGAACCCCCCTGTCATATCCCGCTCTAGCGACAGTATCACTGATTCCGGATGATTAGCAGCGGTCCACGGGCCTAGCTTTCTTCAAGAGGTGAAATGATACAAACCAAACGACATCACCGACCCTAACAACTCCATAGTACGAATCCTTCTGGACCGACTCCACAAACACGCCAATAGTCTGGATCGGCCTCCTCTTCAGCATGATCTGCCTAGCGGTAATGGCCTCCTCCGTAACCGACAGCTCCGAAGAAGAGCAGAAAACGCTCCAACTCGAACTCTACCGCGAAAAGATCGTCCAGTGCCTCATGATAGGCGAGTACACCAAGCCCGGCCCCTACGTCCTCGAGACCCTAGTCCACTACGTATACATCGAATACGGAATCAACCCGGACGCGAACCGCAACATCTGGTTCCTACTCGGCCTCGAAGTCAACCTCGCCATGCGAATGGGCTACCATCGCGATCCCAGCCACTTCCCCAATCTTTCCCCACTGCAAGGCGAAATGCGCCGTCGTCTCTGGACAACCGTACTAACAAGCGACATCCTCCTATCCAGCCAAATGGGCATGCCGCGAATGATCTCCGACTGGAAATGGGATACCGCCGAGCCACGAAACCTCTTCGATACAGACTTGACCCCCTCCCTAACTACACTAACCCCCAGCCGACCAGAAACAGAACACACCACTACACTAGAACTCATCGCGCGAAGACGCATGCTCCTAGCCCTAGGCAGTATATCCAATCTAGCAGACGCAGTCCAACCAGCAAGCTACGCAGAAGTAATGCAAGCGGACAAGACCCTCCACGACGCCGTCTCCAACATCCCTCCCCCTCTCCGCTTCAAACTCCTACAAGCGAGCATGACCGATTCCTCGCAGGTGATCATGTCCCGACTGTTTCTCCAACACCTTTTATACAAAGGGCAAATCATGCTCCATCGCCGGTTCCTCAACATAACCACTCCACTGACCGGTGGTGAACCACACCCAGAAATTTCTAAATTCGCATACTCCCGCACCGCCTGTATCGACGCATCACTCGGCGCTCTACGCATCCAACACATCCTCGACGAGGAGACGTGCAGAGGGGGTCAATTACATGATATGCATTGGCGGATCACATCTAGTATGACGCATTTGTTTCTGACCGCGACGATGATTCTTTGCTCGTTGGTGCATTGTGGAGGGCCTTTGGATAGGGGAGAGGAGGTCCTGGATGCCTTGAGAACGGCGAGGACTATTTGGTTGCGTCGTGGGTCGACGGCGACTTCGCGCGAGGCGGCGAGGGCCGCTGAGGTGGTTAGTCTTACTCTTGCACGGGTGGGGGAGTGTGTGGTTGATGATGAGAGTGATTTGGGGTTAAGGGAGGGGGGTCAGAGTATGGGTGTAAATGGAGGTAAGTTGAGTGGTGTGGGTTAGGTTTATGTTCGCTTGCTAATGGGTAACTTGGTGAGTAGTTGATGAATGTGTGATGATGTCTATGTTGGTACCAGAAGACGGTGTAGGGGTGGATTATGCGTTCTCTATGGATGATTGGTTGCAGATGCAGTGGCCAGGTGCGGATAATTTGGATACTTATTCCCGCTGAGGATATACCAATATAGTATGGGGACGTGAGGTGACGGTGATAAGAGTATTTTAAGGATTGCACATGACTCTGAGTAAGTATACCATGTCTGTGGTCACATTGTTGGTCTGCTAGTAATCAAAGGCATTCAATAGACTTACTAAACGCTCACACATTCCGTATGATGCTAGCAGCTTTCGTGATCATTATTTCTATGTGACTATACTAATATTTCTACTGAGGATCTACAAGCATGATAGTTAACCTAGAATGACAAGGCTATGTCCTCTCGGTGGCCCTCCTTCTCCGTCTGCTCCTCCTAGAACTGGTGATCAGCCGTTTCTGGGCAAGCAACACCAAGTAACGCTGCAGCTTGTCGCGCCTGTGGGGGGTTAGTGATGCTATTATTGATGCCAGAGTAATACTTACATCAAGAAGATGGTTGTGACGAACACAAAAGGAACGGCAATCATCCAAAAGTATCTGGAGCTTGAGTTAGTCATTGCTACAGGACGGACTGATAGACATACGCATCGCTATGTTCTATGCCAGCGAAGGAGGTAAAGTTCATGCCAAAGTAGCCCTAATTTACAGTCAGATAAGCAGCGTATGCAAGCGAAAAAACACGCACCGTTAGGAAGGTAAGTGGAAGGTAGAAGCATGTCACAATGGTGAGTTGCTTCATACTCTCGTTCTGATAAGCGCCTAGATACTGTAAGCCTCAGGCAAAATCCCAACGGCATGATTCACACTCACCAATCGTATTGAAGATCAGGTCGATCATATTGTCAGCAGCCCTTCTCATTTGATCATATCCTTCCACTATGGTTATACAATGGTCTAGCGCATCTCCCAAGTATGTATGACACATTGGACTGATGGAAACGCTCGATCCGCTCAGGCTTTTTAGGTTTGGCGTGGCCGTTCCAATGTATGGACTCCAATCATTTGTAGGAGTCGCAGTCCCGACATTCCTCAACACTCCCAGGCCAGGAGTATGCACAGGGTCGGACCGGTGGTCACGAAGGGCATTGATGATAGTCGCGATTGGTTGCATGCAGTTTCGGAGGATTGCAATTTCTGAAGTGAGAACATACAAGCTTTTGGACTGATCCACGTCTGGATCTGTCAGTACCTCGAGCTCAAGGTCACCAATAACATCTTGATAAGCTGTGGTCACCGGTATGGCCAGATCTATAATAGCATCTAGAATAGCTTGCACAACCATACTGGCATCACACGACTGGCGCAACATTGTCTCAGGTGTACTGAGGCGTCGGACTATTGGACCTTCAATATCATCGGCACTCGTTTCAAAGAACGAAGTCACTGTATTATCTGCATGTAAGAAAATCGAGACCTGTTCCAGAGTAACACACAGTCCCTTTGCCGCCAGTATAGCATGCCGCTCCATAAAGGCTATCCGATCCTCGTTCGGGCCACCTCGGTAACGTTGGATGCTACGAGGCGTGAACCTAACGTTGGCACTATCATCAATATTAGATGCCTTGGAAGTAGACTTCCTCCTACCTGAGGGGGCATCCTTTCCAGGGTACTGTTCATCAGGGCTGTCCTCGCGGGTTTTCGGCCGGAAAAGGTCTTTCAATGCTTCCAACACAAGTGTTCTTTTAGTAGGCCTTCTCAGGGAAATGCTGCTTGCCGAACTTTTGCGCTCATTCGTCCAGTGTGTATTTTCATCTTCCTCATCCTCAGAATCACTGTCATCTTCTTTGAGTTTTATCAATTTCTGGAGTTTTAGCACAATGTATGCATGATCGGAGTACCAGTCAACTTTGGTGCGATTTGTTGCATTGATCAGGTCCTCAACCGCGAGTCTGTGCAGGCCTTTTTCGTTACCCAAGATTCTTATAGCATCCCAACTGAGTCCGTTGACGTTGATCCATCTGCATTGTACCCAAGGCTCTCTCTCCCGCGCAAGAAATGGCTCAAGGGTATCATTGTCCAGAACGTATTGCCTCATTTCATGTTGCGAAAAGTCCACAACAGTGATTTCACTTGTCCCGTGTAGCTCTGCGGGCGTTGAGGCCATCCATTCCGTGCTATAAGCAGGAAGCGGCTGGCTTGGATCGATGCCTGGTTCCGTCCCTGGCTGCCAGTTCGGATCGAGCGCGCCATCTTCGCGATAGTATGAACGAGCGGTGGTGGAGCGTCGCAGTCGGTTTCGGACAGTTTCACGGGAGTTGAGCCTGGCGGCCGTGGTGAAAGTTTCAGGGGGAGGCGAAGGCGGCACCTTAGACGTTGGAGATATGGGCGGATTGGGGGTCCGTGGATTTGCCTCGATATCAGCTATGTCCTGAGACGACTGCAGTCCCGCTGCCGACTGCGCATGATCTTGCGAGTAGATACTCATGCTTGCGATGTAATCAATGCTGCTCGTGGGTGTAGTAGAGGCACTCAGTAAGGGTGAATCGGTGCCAGCAATAAACGGCACTCGCAAGCATTGACATATGCCATACTGGTTTACAGAGGTGGGATGGAAGTAACACAGAGCTGGCAAAGGCTAGTGGATATAAGCTTCTGAATAGGAGAATAGAAGGGAAAGATGGCTAAGACGGAAAGAGCGCTAATCCGTTATTCTTCCTTCGCGGGGGAATGACGTCGCCGCGGGACACGGACCCAACTTGGTTGTTCCATCGGCAAGGAAATCCGCATTCTTTAAAGATCGACAGATAGTAAAGTAACAGAGTGCTGCTCACACCAGAATTTGAAGGGAAAATACGGAGTAGATAAGTTATCATCTCATTAGTGGATGGACAGGCTACTACTGCACGATCAGTCTTGGCTTCTGTAAGCTTATTCCTTAAAGCCCGGGCGCGACGGTTTAGTCTATGCAAGAGCCGTGGTATCCTCCGGGCCACGCCCCAGGATTTATGCTAAAGTATGCCGAGAACGCCTAAAACGAGACACTCGCTGTACCGATCTGGTCGGATTAATACAAATTTCGCCGTGTCACGGCGAATCTTGCCTTGGTCCCTTTTTCCAGGTTCAAGCCAAGGTTTCTAAATCCACCAAGCTGAAGTCACCGGTGTTAACCCTCATGGATAATCCACAAGAGCAGGGTCTTCAACACACTGGTAACTGGCCCGATAACCATGATGCGAGGAAAGTGAATGGCAGCTGTATATTCACTTCCATATCTTCAAGTCGTCTCGTTTCCCTTCTGTAACCCATAATGCTCCGAAAGCGAGTTGGGAGTTGCTGAATGGAACGGTCATGAACTGATATGCACAATGGCTGCTCATTGCGCGGTCTCTGTCCTCTTTCTAGTCGTAAGTTTGATTTGAAGAGGTACGAGATTCCTCTTCGGTCCGGGCAAGTCATTGCGCGAGAGGTATTTTCTGCACACAGGGCAAGTGCCCCGGGGCCCCTTTCCAGACATATCCGACCGCTGTGCCTCGCTGAACTTCAAGGTATCCATAATACACTTGTGACAGAAAAGATGGCCTTGATTGAGTCAGCTAGGTAGCCCGCAATATCGCAAAACAAACTTACCACATGCAGTACTGGTAGCATCAACCGGGGTGTCCATGCAAACGGGACACTTGTATGCAAGTAGAACAGACTCCCCTTTGTTATGATCTAGGGACTGCTGTGCGAGGATAACATCTGCTCGTTGTTTGGCTTGCGTCCTTGACACAGGGTCCATATCCTCTGCCGCCGTCAGGTCAACTGCATCCGGGGGTGCATTCTCCTGTCGTCCAGAATGACTGGTACGACGGCGCTTCTTTTGGTGGCCAGAGGCTTCTAGTGCGTCTATGCTTCCGTGAGATAGCCGACGATGAGCGGGAGGTGAGGGTTCTAAGGAAAGGTGACGAGCAGCTGAAGCCCGACGCCTGGGAGATGCGCTATCCATTTTAATCAGTGCTTCGAGAGTCGATTGGATCCGTACTGTCGGGACTAGTGAGGGAGCGAGGGTAAACTCCGTAAGAGCAGCCAGGCGCTGAGAAGTGCTCTGTGGTTGTGGCGATATGTCAAGAGACTAGAAAATCCTGTACCTCGGCGGGTAAATATTGCTGCTTCATCTCCCAGACATTACTGAGTAAACTCGCAGCGCAGGTAAGCGAGAAGAGCAGTTAATGTGACGAGGGGAGGCGAGGCGATCGGAGAAATAGTTGGCGGCTTATCGATGCCCGATAACACTCGGCTGCCCATTGGAGTAGGCGGTGACATTTATCCGGAGAGAGGATAATCCGGGAATCTTCCATCATGACGCTGGGATTATTCCGCGATAGGAAAGAAAGTACGAGCGCTCCTGGAAAGCCGGCGTCCCTCTCGTCGCATTTACTATCACGCAGCATTGGCTGCGACGCCTACGTTACCATGTCATGGGGATAATCATCTTTCTATAATTCATGAAGAAAATGCTCTGGAGTCATCCCTGCACTCCCTGTCGTAGGGATGTCCTACGCTTTTGTTCGCAGAGATTGCGCTCGCCACGCATCGTACGGCCACAATCTTCATCATTGCTAGCAAGGTATCTTGCGACACAGTCTGTAGCGCATACTTCTGATGAGGCACCTAAACGGGAATCTCTTGCAGGTGGGTGTTTCAGCTGTTTTGAGTTGCGAAAGCCCTATATACTAATTTCGCAGTCCCCGCTTCCGCTAGATTCAACGAGATCGGAGTCCAACAATTAAGCGACCATGTCTACTCCCAAGTATTTCTTCAGAAAGCAGAACCGCCAGATCCAAGTTTGGTCTCTTTGTCAAAGGAACATTTGTCAAGGCACGATTTACTCGGAAAGTCACAAGATGCTGCGGAGCCCATCGCCTTTGACATGCCCGCCCTTCAAGGGCAATCGCTTGATGAGCATTTCTACAAACTGGGAATGGATGCATCGGAGCCCTATCTCGCCTATTCCAAACAGTACGCCGTGGTGAACTCTCCGGAGAAGCCGCGCAAATGGATAAAACGCAGTGGATGGACAAAGTACAGCAGCGACGGCTCGTGGGAAGCGGTTGATGCACCAAATGAGGCCATGTTGACGTTCGACACCGAAGTCATGTACAAGGAGCATTCTTTTGCTGTTATGGCTTGCGCTGTTAGTCCTACGGCTTGGTATGCTTGGATATCGCCCTGGTTATTAGGAGAGTCGGAAAACCCGGTCCAGCTCGTTCCCCTCGGAGACCCATCGAAGCCGCGAATTGTCGTGGGCCATAATATTGGTTATGATCGCGCTCGCGTTCTTGAGGAGTATGATATGGCCCAGTCTCGCAACTTCTTTCTTGATACCATGTCCCTTCACGTGGCTGTGAATGGTATGTGTTCACAGCAGAGACCTACCTGGATGCGGCACAAGAAGAATAGGGACTTGAGAAACAAGATCGCGAGTGAGAGTAACTCGGTTGAGCTGGCAGCCTTACTAGAAAGTAAGATGCTCAGTGATGAGGAAGAAGAACTCTGGGTAGGAAGGAGCTCGGTGAATTCGCTTCGTGACGTGGCCAAATTCCATTGTGATGTTACGATTGACAAGGCGCAACGTGACTATTTCGGTGAACTTGACAGAGACGGAATTCTGGGGAAGTTGGAGGAACTGCTCGATTATTGTGCAGCGGATGTTGCCATTACCCACCGAGTGTACAAGAAAGTATTCCCTAACTTCCTTGAAGTCTGCCCGCACCCTGTCAGCTTTGGCGCCCTTCGACATCTCTCTTCGGTAATTTTGCCAGTGAATGAGACTTGGAAAGAGTACATCGCCAATGCGGAAGCAACCTATCACCAGCGTCTTGAGGATGTTCAGCGAAAAATGATCGAACTTTGCGAGGAAGCTTTGAAAGTCAAGGACTCTCCGGACATCTATACGAATGATCCCTGGCTGCGGCAGTTGGACTGGTCCGGCCAGGAGGTGAAGATGGTCAAAGGAAAGAAGAAAGGCGACCCTCCGCGTCCCGCTGCCAGGCAGAAGAAGCCGGGTATGCCGAAATGGTATAAAGATCTGTTTGCCACCAACACATCAGACATCAACTTATCTGTGCGTACTCGTATCGCGCCTATACTTCTCAAACTGTCCTGGGACGGTTACCCTTTGACATGGTCTGATAAGTATGGGTGGACTTTCAAAGTCCCACGCGAGCTTGTCAAGAATTATGAGAACCAGCCTGTCGTTCTATGCGACATGTCCGAGGAGAAGAACCTCGAATTGCAGAATGACAGAAAACATGTTTACTTCAAACTTCCGCACAAGGATGGGCCTCAAGCACGGTGTACAAACCCTCTAGCGAAAGGGTACATGCAGTACTTTGAACGTGGAACGCTCTCATCCCAGTACGCCCTCGCCAAGGAGGCGCTAGAGATGAATGCATCCTGCTCTTACTGGATCAGTGCTCGTGACCGTATCATGGGCCAAATTGTAGTTTACGAGGACGAAGTGCGAGACCTGGCATCGCGTAGCAAGACAGACCACCGACTCGGGTTCATCTTGCCACAGATCATTCCAATGGGAACCATCACCCGAAGGGCAGTGGAAAACACATGGCTTACAGCCAGTAATGCCAAAGGGAACCGTGTCGGGTCTGAGCTCAAGGCCATGATCAAAGCTCCGCCTGGCTACTCTTTTGTCGGCGCAGATGTCGATTCTCAGGAACTATGGATTGCCAGTCTTGTTGGGGATGCCCAGTTCCAGATCCACGGCGGCAACGCCATCGGGTTTATGACACTGGAAGGATCGAAGGCAGCAGGGACGGATATGCACTCACGCACTGCCCAGATCCTGGGTATCTCACGTAACGATGCCAAGGTCTTTAACTATGGACGTATCTATGGAGCTGGCGTCAAATTCGCCGCTACTTTGCTGCGTCAGTTCAACCCGTCCATGTCAGAAAGGCAGACCCAGGAGGTTGCAACAAAACTATATAAAGAGACGAAGGGTACCCGTACGACTCGTCGTATACTCTGCGAAGGTCCTTTCTGGAGAGGCGGGACCGAGTCGTTCGTCTTCAACAAATTGGAGGAGTTCGCTGAGCAAGAGAGGCCCAGAACACCTACGCTAGGAGCCGGAATCACTGAAGCGCTGATGCGGCGCTTCATCAACAAGGGAAGCTTTATGACATCGAGGATTAACTGGGCCATTCAGTCGTCTGGCGTCGATTATCTCCATCTCTTGATAGTCGCCATGGACTACCTCATTCGTCGCTTCAATATCGCCGCTCGTCTGGCAATCACTGTCCATGACGAAATCAGATATCTAGTCAAAGATGAAGACAAGTATCGAGCTGCACTGGCATTGCAGGTTGCCAATGTGTGGACCCGCGCGATGTTCTCGCAGCAAGTTGGGATTAACGACCTTCCCCAGTCTTGCGCCTACTTCTCAGCCGTGGACATTGACCACGTCCTGCGAAAAGAGGTTGATATGGACTGTGTAACCCCATCCCACCCGCACAAGATTCCCCACGGTGAGAGTCTTGACGTCGCGCAGCTCTTGGACAAGAACGAGAAGGCATTCCTCGATCCCACCATCACCCCCATCTCACCACCCAACCCCCAGCAGTACGAGTACACGCCACGACCGTCAGTCATGTCCGCACTTCAGACTTCTCACCCGGCTTTCATCCGCGCTCAGATCTCGAAGGACGACAACGAACTCCGAGACATAATCAAGGATCTCACTAAACAAAAGTCCACGCTGACACCCCCAAACGCGCGTTCGCCCATCAACCGTGCAAGAGCGTCTGGCTCGGTGGCAGCAGAACCACAAAAGGCCATTCTGATGGACATTGGACCAAGTCTCTATCCTGATTTTAAAAGCCTTCCCCAAGGGAGCCGGTCTCCCCAGGTTAGCTTCAACCGTCAGAATTGGAAACCAAGACCATCTGCCCGAGCTTAGTGGTCATGCATGGGCGTAATTTTCCTTCCCACCCTTCACCATTTTACTGTATATATCAGCTGACTTCGTCGTTCTCTGGGAACGGTATGGCCTTTCTTTTTCATCTCATCTTTTTGGATCTTCTTCTACGAGTTGTATTATGTCGAAAATCGTTCGTGAAGCATTGGGCGGCGTCCAGCGGATTCACGGACTATTATCTATCATCTATGTCAGAGTAATCGAGGTGTCTCTATGGTGGTGTTAATCATGATCTCAAGAACAAGCAATGTAAATATACAAATAATCTCAATAAATCAGTAATCGCTTGTAGCTTTGTTCTCTCAAACCCAAAATAATATCTCTACACTATTCCATTCTCCCTTTCAGTCTCTCCTCCCCGGATCCAGCGTATTCCTCCGACTCATCCCACTCCTATCCTTCCCCCTCAACATAGCATCCCCTTTCTTCCCCAGCACCACCTCGAGCGCCTGCACCAACGCCGTCGAATCATACCGCATCCCAAGGCCTACATCCTCCCCATTAGCGCCAACAATCTTCCTCCCATAAAGCCGCAACGTCTCGATCCCCATCTCCGCAAGCCGATCCTTATCGACACGGGGAGTACCCGGACCATCCAAATGCAGAACATGCGTCACATACGCCGAATACGGGAGTCGCTCCTCCTCCTTCCCCCTGTCTCCATCTTCCACGGCACCAGCACCAGCACTAGCAGAAGGATCCATATTCAACGGACCCCTACCCCGACTCTCCTCTCCAGCTCGGGTAATAGCCTCTACAAAGTCCGAAGCCGTGAACGGCTCATGAGACGGCCCCGTCTCGCGATCCAGAGACCCATTCAGAATGAGGATCTTATGCCTCGCTGGGCCGGTAGCGATGGCTTGGCCAACGCCACGGAGGATAATAGAGGGAATGATGGAGGTGTACAAAGAGCCGATGCTATATATGATAGCTTGGGCATCGTGGAGGGATTCAATGACGCGGGGGTTAGCGGGCGGTTGGATTTCCTGGCCGTAAGGGTTGATGTACCAGATGCGGGAGATGCGGGAGGGGAGATCCTGGGTATCTGATTTGCTGAAGGAGATGTTTTTGTGGCGGAGGGTGGGGAGGAAGCCTGGGGGGTGGTCGTCGTCTTCGAAGTAGGGTGGTGTTGGTGTTGATAATGGGTGGTGGAGGGGAGAGTTTTCTGTGCCGTCTGCGAGGAGAGGGCGTGGAGAGCGAAGGGGGATAGCTTCGCAGGGATGAGAGATGCTGTTTTGACCTACGATGATGGTTCCGTCGGCCAGAGAGGCGGAGATGTGGTGCGAGAAGTTGGAGTTGATGGCTGGGATGACTCGGACGAGGTCCCAGGGCACGCCGCCGATGCTGCCTAAGAGGTAGATGGCGCTTTCGAAGCTACCGCTGAAAAGACGGGCTCCGGTGAGGAAGAGATTGCCTACGCTGGCGGAGGTGAACTCGAAGGTGGAGGTTGGGGGTCGGGCACGCTTCAGGATCTCCAGGTTTAGGAGGTTGAAGAAGGAACGGATGAGTTCCCGTTTGGCTGGGGTGATGGCGGCCCAGAGGGTGGAGGTGCCATCTACGATGGAGTGCCATTCTGCGTGAGCGAGACTGGCGTCGGCTGGAAGCCGGTGGTTGAAGAGAGCTTTGATGGCTGCTCGTTCAGAGTTGGGAGGCGATTCGGGGATCAGTCGGACGAGGCGGCCTGGTTGGGTTGGTTAGTGATGTGGGATAGGGTGGATGTTGGTATGTGACTCACTGCGCACATCTCCTATACCAGGGCCGCCAAAGATGCGGATTAACTCGGATGAGGAACCCCCATTGTCGCTGATGGGGATGATGTAGCTGAGGGAGCAGTGTTTGCTCCCGCGCACGGCATTGAACACGTCAACGAGGTTATTCGCGGCACTGCCTCCGGAGAAGACCACCAGGCCCCGGTTGGGTGCAGAGGCGGACGACATGGGGAATGATGGTACTAGGACAGAGGTTGAGAGATGTGGACTAGGATCCTAGTGACTACATGCTTGTGTAAAGAAGACACAAATACCTTATGGCCCCTTAATGCGAATGTAGCACGAGACACTCGAGGATTGCAGGGCAGGTGACAAATGCGGAAGTCCCTGGAGTTTGGCTTATCGCCACGGCCCCGCAAACTAACGGCCACTTTATTATACATGATTGGCTTGACCCTACTATATATATCCCCTATGTCTTACATTTTCTTGGATTATCATTATCTTGAAAGAAAACGTGACGCTTATTCGTAGATATTTCACACATAAGTAGTTACAGTAATAATGAAATATGCCATTAGATTTACAGATCTGACTTTACATGGGAAAGATGCACCAGAAGAAAAAGTGATTCACGCGTATGCAGCCCAGCCTAAGATGAAGGTCAGTTCCGTTCTCAACCTTGGGAGAGAAGACCAGATCAAACTTACCACAATAGAGAACAGCAAGGTTCTTCTCATCAGTGGCCTGCTGAATCAGTTCGTTGACTGTTGCTGTTACACTCAACGTCTTGCTAAGCTTCTTCGCGACAACCGTCAATGCACGATCAGCCTCGCTGGGCTCATTGGTCGACTGTTGATCGTTGTTGGCCCCAGGGATCACAGGAGGACCTCCATCAGCCTCCTGCGCATCTTGCATTCGCTTCATTCGAAGAGGCGACACCGTCCAACTATACAGCGGGTCGTACCGCAGCACATCGAGAATGGTCATGATGCTATAAGACTCCTCGCGCAAGGCCTCCAGCGTAAACTCGCAACAGCGTCGGAAGACCCCCTCGGTCTTGCTGATGCCCATGCCGTCGACCAGATCGCGGGTTAATCGAAAAGGAACGACCTCCGGGACGGGCAGAACTCGCCCCTGCTCAAATGCTACACCCAGATCGATATGCACCACTTCACCCGTTCGCTCATCCAATAGAATATTATGGCCGTGTCGGTCCCCGAGTCCCAAAACGTGGCCCAGGATGGAGATGGCGGCGGTGCTCCGTGTGTAAGCTAGTCGCTTGCTGAACCAATCATCGGGGTTATTAAAGTTCTCCATGAAGAAGAATCTCATGACTGGATGGAAATGCTCAGTGACCTGTCGATACGTTCGCACTCTTTGTTCAAATGATCGGGTCTGAACATCTGCGATATGTTTCCGGGCCATGTTTGGTTTCATGTCCTTCGGAAAGTATCGTTGATGTGCTGGCATCAAGAAATCGTGCAGCGGGATCGTGTGAGGAACAAACTCTATGATGCCTGCATTCGATGTGAGAGGCAGCACTTTGTAGGTGCGAATGCCCAAATTCCGCTGGCGAGTGACCTGATGGTCTTTGAGGAGGCTGCTGACTTGCTCGAAGACTTGTTCCATGATAGCGTCCTGGCGCAAGTCATCGTTTCCTCCTTTGAACTTGAGGGTTGTTAGTCTGATTATCAGCATCAATAGAGGTAAACAGGCTTACCAATTGCTTGTAGCGCGATCCATTGCTAGCAATGGCCGTGACGATTTTTGGCGCGCTAACGCCCGAGGCAATGGTAAACTCGGGGTTATACTTCACCAGCTTCGGGACATCGCTGTAGTCACAGTCAACGCGTATATCGATCTTCATAGTAGGCGGCGGTAGGCGCTGTGTTGCGGCATCCTGCTCGAGCCGTTCTCCGGTTGAAAGCTTTTTCAAGGGAACTTTGGCGCCACTTCTGTACTTGTCGTTTGGTTTTTCGACGGCAAACCGCACATAGCTGATGTTTGCATTATGAACAGCCACCCAGGTTGGTCCCATGCGTTTATCGTTCTTCAAACAATCCACCAGCTTTCCAGCTGCTCTGTTTCGAGACAGGGCTGACTGGTCTTTGCCGCCCTTGGATTTGCTGCTAGCGAATATTTGATACATGCCATGATACGGATGCTCGACACAGATACGAAAGATCAAGGCGAAGAGCATTTTCTGGAACTCATCCGAAACGTCCAACAGGCGGGAGGTAAGTTGGTTCATCAAGGGTGCGAACTTCCGGCTTGGGACTTGGCTGATATACTTGGAAACCGCCATGTTTCCAATTGTGCTGGCAGATTTGTCCAGCCACAATGCACAGAATCGGAGCGCATCGTTGTTAAAGCTTTCACTCTCTTTCAGACAAAGGAGGTAATTCTCCAAGCATTGTTGAAGGAAGGCCTCGCGACTGCGCCGGAGACGCTGATATTCGCGATCATCAAGATCAAACCACTGCTTGGTTTTCGCCCGATGATATTTGAGAGCCTCTTTTTCTTTCCCATGGGCCGATTTCATCATGTCCTCAAGTGCGTGTACCTCCCTTTCTTTACGGTCGCGAAGTTGTTCAATCCGCCTGAAGTCTTCTAGGCCGTCTGGGTTTTGTAATTGCCGGTCGCAGAACATGGCAAAGCCATGGTAGACCCGACCAACATCTTCGCCAAGCGAGCGGGTTTTAAGCTCCTTGACAGCAGCAGACAGGTAATCTTGAACGATAGTATCCGGCTTTTCCAAACGTGCCTCAGCAACGTGATGGCCCTGGTAGATGTTAATACTGACACCGATGAGGATAACAACTTGTGACATACCAGGGTTACAAGAAGTTCTGCACGGCTTATCGGAATAGCTTGTTTATGCAAATCATTCCGTTCCCGAAGCTGCTGCAGAATTTGGATCGACGCTGCCATCTCTCCTTGATCCCATAGAACATTGGCCAGATCAAACTTCGCGGCACCTTCGATGTTGATACCTAGGGTGCTGCAATTGTGTGCAAGCTTCGAAAGGCATACAGCTGATTTCAAGGAGGCCTGGGAGATACCATGGTCTCGCGCCACTTTGAGTGATTGACGGATAACCTTCACTTCCAGTAATTGAGCGTCCCGATCACTTATGTTGATGGCAGTCTTCAAGAAGTCTTTATTTTTGATCGATGAGAACAAAGCCTCATGACAAGTCAATATCTCGCCAACATCACTAACACTGCATTCGTCAGACCTGAGTCCATCACACGGTCATCGTCCCGGAGACCTACCTTGTTGTCTTGAGCCAGGAGTCCCTGTCCACCATGGTTTGCCACTGGCTGTTTACGTCTTCAGTTGATGCAGAGCTCAGTACATCACAAACTTCAGTCATTACACCCAAAGTCCGCATCGCTGTGCGCAAGGATGTTGCTGAACGACTAGTGCTGGTCAGTAGATCTAGGCTGGATAAAAGACACTCGTCAATAGAAGCAAAAACATCATTGAGCGTTCCAGATATATTAAGACTTTGGAAAGCCCGAAATACGGATGCTGAAGGTGAAGGGCTCAATGGGGAGACAGGTATATCCCATCGTCGCAAATCTTTTGCGGTTTGTAGCATGCTTTCAAATGAGCCCGACGTGTCGCGGGAGCTGCCAGAGATGGTGAAAACTGAGTTGGCAATGCCTTGAAGATTTGTAGAGTTGAGGGCTTTCAAGACGCCATGGACATTGGCGCTTTCTCCCATCTGTAACTCGCTATCGTAGTGCGCGCTCTGGAACAATAGATTTTTGAACCCTGAGCTTTCGTGCTCGAGTCTATCCATAACAGCTTCCAACGATGAATCCTGCTGGATACCATAGAAAACGTCTGGATCGTCTATTTTGCGGAATATCTCATGCAATATCTCCGGTGCCGCTTCAAACTTTGCAACGGATGAGCGACGTGAGGTAGAGGCTATGCGCGATGCAGAGATTTCCAGGAAGAGCAATCCTGTTTTGGGTAATCGGCACTTATTGGCAGCCGACGATGCTTCTGCGTAGTCAACATCAAACCACTCGTCTCTTTCCACTATGGTCGACTCCTCTGGTCTCGGCTGGTTCCTGAGATAGAGGATGCAGTTTATCACTAGCCGTGCATGAGGAATAGTCTGGTCATTAACTTGCCGTAGCACTTGTCCGAAAATCTCCGAGATTGTCTTGCGAATGTTTACCTTCCCATCATCTTCCGCCAGCAGGACGTCATGAAGAATGTATGGTAGGATTTGAACTGCTAAGTCAGGTATAACGCACAAGATGGTGCGCAAAGGTCCAATGACTGGATCTTTTGAAGCCGAGTCCGACAAAAACAAACCGACACTGCGAGCGAATCTTCCAACAGGAGCATCTGGATTCCAAATAAGGGCAGTTCGGCTTTCTGCCACTGAGGTTGGCATGGGCATTTCCGGGCATTGGTAAGGGCTCCATGTGAAAGCCTTCAAAAGCGTCGAGGGCACTACTCTTCCGCAGGGTTCAAACTCCGGGGTACTCCCAAGATTGCTGACAATGAGTTGAATTGTACGTTCAACAAGCCCGACTTCCAGATGACTGCTATTCTGTAGCATACCGCAAAGCGCCATGAGTATGCTAGCCTTCGAGCGATGAAATGGGCTCGGCAGTGACTGAGATGATTGGACTGCGAAAAGTTTCGGATCTTGTTCTCTTAAGAGGATGTCACTAATTTTGCCTGTAGTAGCGAACGCTCTCCCGATGACTCTAGCTGCCCAAAGCTTGTACTCGGTACCTGGGTCGAACTTTTGCAGGGTTTGGCAAATAGCAACAGCATGTGACATGACAACCTGATCGTCACCAGAGACATTGAGATGGGTTTCAGGGGATTGCTTGCTCTCGGTGCATAACAATGATATGACGTGATCGGCAATTGGGCCACTTAGCAGGCTTGTTTTCGAATTTTGGTCTTTGAGGACTTCTAGAAGCAAATCATGTTCCTCCTTACTGCCTTCAGAGCCCTCATTCGCAGGGTTGATGCCCTGAGAAGAAGCAACCAGACGTCTGAAGAGCTCATTCTTCTCAGGCTTGAGACCAACGGGTTCATATGTTTTCAGGTAGCTTCCAAACCAATCGAGAAAGAGTTTTATCTTCGCCACGACAGTTTCGACTAGACCAGGCTGAGCTGTTTCTGTCGGAGGAGCAACTAGAAATCGTCTCAGCGACAAGAGTGTAGTGACCGCGATCCCGGCCATGAGGCCCGGGCTTTCACATAGATAAGTCTTCCCGGCTTCTAACAGG